AGAGAGAAGTTATCTTGATCTTATTTATTAAGGTTTGATTAACATTGATTACAGTCTCAGCTCTACTCTACTCTACTCTACTCTACTCTACTCTACTCTACTCTACTCTACTCTACTCTACTCTACTCTATTCAATTATTGAGTTTCTCTGACCTAAGGAAAATAAATGTAAAGAGAATTCGGTTAAATTTATCCAACAAGCAAACTTAATCAATTTGGATCTTTAAAGGCCTTAGGAACCCTTCCTGAAACTATTTAGACTGAATAAGTTTCATTATTATTTTATTCACCAAATTAGTGTTATTTTTTTATGGATCCATTCTTTTTTGTTGATGGCACGCTATAATTAAAAGATCTCAAAAATATATTGTAGTGGAAATTCTTTTAAAGATTAAGTAAGTACTTTCAGAGGTCAGCCATTTAGCTGTTTCCAAAACAAAGGGGCAATCTTCCATTTTTGCCCAAATTTTAAATTGTCAGTTGTTGCCATATATAAAATTATTGGCTAATTTTACACTTTTACAAAAGATTTTAATGACCAGCTTTTGCCAATAAAATGGGCAATATATCTGTGTTTGCAAATATGTCGACGTGACAGCTGTTGCCATTACAATGAGCAATTTATCTGTGCATGTTGGCAAATGAGTAGAATTGGCAGCTGTTTCCACTACAATGAGAAATATATCTGCGTTTGCAAATATGTAGAATTGACAGCTATTGCCAAAACTATGGGAAATATATCCGCGTTTGAAAATATATAGATATGACAGCTGTTGCCAAAGGGCAATCTTACATACTTGCCCAAATTTTAAATAGTCAGTTGTTGCCATATAAAATTATTGGCTAATTTCACACTTTTACAAAAAATTTTAATGACCAGTCATTGAAATAAAATCGGCAATATATCTGTGTTTGCAAATATGTCTCATGGACCCCTATTGGCACTAGGTTAGGCAACATACATGTGTTTTCAAATATGTCAAATTGACAGATGTTGCCACTACAATGGGCAATATATCTGCGTTTGCAAATATGTCGACTTGACAGCTGTTGCCACTTAAATAGGCAATAATTCTATGTTTGCAAATATGTAGAATTGACAGTTGTTGCCACTACAATAGGCAATATATCTGCGTTTGCAAATATTTAGACTTGACAGCTGTTGCCACTTAAATAGGTAATATATCTATGTTTGCAAATATGTAGAATTGACAGCTGTTGCCACTACAATAGCCAATATACCTACGTTTCCAAATATGTAGAATTGACAGCTGTTCCCACTACAATGTGCAACATATCAGCGTTTGCAAATATGTAAAAATTGGCAACTGTTGCCACTTCAATGGGCAATATATCTGTGTTTGCAAATATGTAAAAGTTGACAGCTGTTCCCACTACAATGTGCAACATATCAGCGTTTGCAAACATGTAAAAATTGGCAGCTGTTGCCACTTCAATGGGCAATATTTCTGTGTTTGCAAATATGTAAAAGTTGACAGCTGTTGCTTCTATAATAGGAAATATATCTGCGTTTGCAATTTTGTAGAATTGACAGCTGTTGCTTTTACAATGGGCAATATATCTGTGATTGCAAATATGTAGAATTGACAGCTTATACTGGGGTTTTAAAGAACAGCTGTGCAAATATCTATTAAAAGAAAAACATAAAGGAGAAGGTGTTATAACTTATAATACACTCTCAGAGGTTGGTTTAGAGTGGGTTAGTGCACATTGATACATAATACGATAAACTAGTAAACGTTCACAACATAAATATAGAATAATCAGACTCCAATGTGATGGTAAGATTATGTGATTATTTTATATACGTATACAAGGGTATTTAGGTCTGTACTGTTTACTACAATATTTGTCCGATACTTCATGAAATAAAGTTGTATCTTTATCTTGGGGAATTTTACACAACCAACATCCGGCTCCGGGCTCACAAATTTCACCGAATCAAATATTTTAATAATATTTATTTTTTATTAACGTATGCTGTTAAATCCTTTGAAAGTTTCTCGATTTTAGACCAAATTATTTTTTTAATTAAATGCTTGATTACTTTTATAATTGCTTTTTCGGGTTTTCTCTGGCCTCTGCATTTTTCTCTTTTTTTCTTTCGTTTTTTTATTTTTATTTTATTTTTCAATAATGATAGCATTATGATTTATGAACAAAACACGAATTTTATTGTAAAATTGTATACATTCCACAAAATATAAAATGTATGTTAGACCTTTCTTTAAAAAAAATTTTAAATTATTGTTGACGCATATTTAGTTCTCAGTTCTCAATTTACACCATTCTTAACTAATTTCATTCCTTTTTTAAACATCTATTATTCTGGACAAACAAAACAATCCGTTTTTTTCTTTCTAAATTTGCTTTTATATTGCTTAAACAATAATGCCACTCAATCTAATTAGAAGAGCAAAGATGGTCACGAAAAGATCAAAATGATGAAAATTATAATAAAATTTACGCACATCTTTAGCTACAAATTCTGATTTTCAAATCGCTATATCTTTGCAAACTGATGGTGTTAACCTTTGATATTTCAAACTATTATTATTTGATCTAAAATAATTCTTAGTTTGAAATATCTAAGGCCTCTGACATTGAAAAGCAAAGATACAGGGATAAGAAAATCAGAGTTTGTGACAAAAACTCAATTCCTTTTGACAGAAAAGTGTGTAGAGTAACCAACAAATTATAACTAACAAATACATGAACATGTGTTGGCAGAACCAAAGGAATTGAGTCTTTGCCACAAAAGATGATTCTCTAATTCCAATATCTTTGCAACCCAGTGTCGTGGACCTTAGATATTTTTAAACTGTAAATTATTTTAGGAAAAAATAATCCAAGTTTGAAATATTAAAAGTTTAAACCATCGGGTTGCAAAGATATAGAAATTACAAAGTTGTGGCCAAAACCCAATTCCTTCAGAAGATTAAGTTTATTAATCACGATTTTGTATTTTTGTTGAAATCAATCCGGATGAAAATGCAACTATACTCGACGTTTATATAATTAGTATTTGGACAATCAGGATGATCCAAAAATAAAACACGTTTAAAAATCTTTTAATTAACGATTTAAATATCCTTTAATTAACAATTAAAATATCTTTACTTAACGATTAAAATATCTTTATTGTTTTCATCATGAAATATAAATTGTGATTTTAAAATACTTTCATGCAAGCTTAATGAACTATAATATAAGTTAAAATTTAATATATGAAAAAAAAATTTTAAGATGTTTATCCGAAAAATTGTTATATTTTATATGTTATATTTTTCGTCAGTGGATTATATTTTTATAAGACATTTTTTTTTCTGATAATGTTCGCAATAAAAACTATTCTATTTTTAATTCATTGATTATTGATCAGGGATTTTTATTTTTTCCTCAACAAATCTATTATAAAAATAATTGTGATAAGCNGATCCCAACCCACAGCTCTTACTTTTGTTTGATCAACTTATCAAAGTATAATATAGACTTGGTCACCCAGAGATGGAAACTTTAATTAATAAGCCTTGATAAACCAGGTTTCGGAATCCAGGTTTCGATTAAGGTTTTTGAGGTAAAAAAGACAAACACTTAAAGGGACTGTTAGCGTAATTTCAAGTGACCTTCTATTTGTAGATAGGTATGTCAGATTGACAACGATACCCTTTAAACCTTTGTCTGGACAACAATGAGGTAGAAGATACCCTCAATTGTAAAGCTGAAGATTAAGTGACGGTAGACTTGAGGTTACAGTGTACACTGTACACTAGTGTACAATCGCGTGGTTTCTTCGCACTTAATTTCCCATTATATAAATAAGAATATCTACGAAATCCTTGATTAAACAAAGGTTTAAAGGGTATAGTAGTAAATCAGACATGCCACCTTATAAATGGGGAAGGTCACTTGAAATTACACTTACAGACCCTTTTTCTCGGTTCTCAACCATGGTTGAAACTCTTTTACATTTTCAGTGTGAATAGTAAACATAAACTCTACATAATTACTCTACATAATATATAAGGCATAAAGGCGTAAATGACAAAAATGGTTGAGATATACCGTATTCTATTCAGCTCCTGGATGTTTACACTTTTTAGCATGTAATAAATTATCAAAAATAGAGACTTAAGAAACATTAAAAGTGAACTTAATTCAATTATTAAGAAATACTGCTGCAAAACTTTCAGTTTGCTGAATCTGAATGCGTTAGCGGGAGGCATATTTGTTTTTAACTTGAGAATAATTATGATTTTTTTAAGCTTTTCCTATGAAAGGATTCCCAATAATTTGTTATCTATCTCTATATAATAAAAGGTCTTCGCTCATACATATATTTGTATATATTTTAACTATAGCTGGCCATAACAAAGGCTAAAACATTTTTTTTCTTCAAATTCAAGCTAGTTTAATTTATAATTAAATGAGAAATAGATTTATAGATTTTCTTTTTTTTACCATAAATGCATTTATCACGAACAGATTGAAATGCAGTTTGTTCAAGCAAGTCCCGTTATTAACATTAAAGCAATAGTTTTTTGCATAACTGAAAAAGAATAGAACAAATTGCATCGATTTTTTTTTTGCACAGAAGATATATCTATTTTTCGGTTTTGCATCGTTAAAAATGTTAAACATTTTAAAGCATATTTAAACTTTTATCATATTTTATACTTGAAGATTTCTCCAAAATAATTAGATTTTTGCAACTTTTTTGATTCTTTTTATAAATTAAATGTAATTAAATCTATTGAATAAAAATTAAACAAAGTCTAAACAATTTTATTAAATTCCGAATTATAATTCAAAATATGAATAGATTTCCGAAGAGAAAGTAAAATGGCCACCAGGTTTTCTGTAATCCTCGAAACTTGTAACAACGAATGAAATATTTTGGCACACATGCAACCGGAGTAAAAAATTATATTTAGATCCTAAAGGTATTTTTAGCAGCAATGTCGTAAAAATTTAGTTTCAGAAAAATATGGAATCTTACAAAATCATGTCAACTTCTAATATCCCACGTACAACTGTGTTATTCGGTAGCTGAACGAGGTTCGGTAATCGTTAGCAGACTCAGGTTCAGAATTCGGGGTTAAATCCCCCGGGTTCAATCCGGGGAAATATCCCCCAGCTTAATCCGGGAGTAGGAGAGAGAATGGAAAATAATATCTTTCAGCATATTCAAAACCCGGGGTAAGTATTTTGGAATTAATGATAGAAAACTAAAATCAATGTCTAATAATAAGAAATATTCCATATTATAAAGTTTTTTTTGGATACAGTGATAAACAGAAAACTCTGGAATAGTAAGACCCATTCTCTAAATTAGTAAAGGAATTGAGTCTTTGCCACAAACTCTGATTTTCTAATTCCTATATCTTTGCAACCCAATGTCCTAGACCTTAGACATTTCAAACTATGAATTCTATTAGACCAATCAATCTAAGTTTGAAATATCAAAGATTTACACCATCAGGCTGCAAAGATATAGGAATTATAGAATTTGAGTTTGTGATAAATACTCAATTCCTTTAGAAGTACATATTTAGAAAAACTATTCGCTTTGTAACAGTTAAATATTGCTACGATTTCGTCTTCCCAGTCCAATGTTTTTTGTTTATCACTGTAGCTAAATAGCGCAGCATTTTCTTTTTTCATTTATTTAACAATAAATCACAAAGTTATAATTTTCTATTTTCAGAAAAACTTGAATTTCCATAAAAAGTTTCTGTAGCAAGTTATTTTTAAATTCTTATCCTACCATTACTAGAATCATAGCGTATTCTATTAATATTCTAGAGCTTATTAAAATAAAATTTATTCTAAATATATTTTCAAAGGATTCTTTTTAGAAATTTATATGATTGAACAACTATTCAATCCGTTTGAATTTCTTGTAACAAATTAAGTTTTTACATTTTCAGAAATGATTAAAATTTGAATTTAATCTAGCTTTTGATTTTCGGAGACTAATTCTGCCAGACAATTCATCAAATTCTACCAGACAATTCATCAAATTCTGTCAGACAATTCATCAAATTCTGCCAGACAATTCATCAAATTCTGCCAGACAATTCATCAAATTCTGCCAGACAATTCATCAAATTCGTCTAAAAAACCTGGAAAATTATTTAATTGGAAATCTTAAGATATTTTAGTTTTTTTTATTTATGAATTTTTTCCCAACTGCAATGTTTTATGTGTTAAACCTTTTAGATTTGTAAAATTTTGACAAGAAAATATAGTTCTCCTGCGTCCGGAAATAATTTGAAATATTTTACTGGGCACATACATTTTACTTTACAATAATATGACCTCAAATTCAAATAAAATTCACGTTGAATTGACATCTTAAATGTTTTCGATCATACACCCCGGACTAACCAGAGTGAAAGGCATTCGGTTTCTTCTATTTGAAATCGAAATCATATGCGTTTTGGTTTATAGTTAAACAATCTTTAAACTTACAAATTTGTTTGTTTTATACTTTTCATTAAAAACAAAAAAAACATAAGAAAAAAGGCAAATTTTTATGTTTAATAGGTTAAATTCAGATTGAAAGTCACATCTTTCTGGAATATTGACAGAACCGTTAAACCCACGTGATCTCCTCGTATTGAGGAGCCATTGTGAATTTTCTAATTTACTAATCGTGAGCGTAAACAAAACTAGAGCAGCTATGAGGTCATGAAGTTGTACCGGTAAAATGTTGCATAGATCATACCTTCTTCAAATCGATTGAAATGTGATAAACAACCCTTGCAGATGCCTAAAGGTGTTTACTTTTAAAATAAAAACGTTTTTCCCTGCAGATTGGTTTCTTTTTTAGAAGGAATAATTTGAAGAACTAATAGCAGGCTTTTTAAACGATTCTTTACAAAATTATAAATCAAGCAGAATCTCTTCAAATAATTATATTAAAATGATTCCCGAGTCTTTTCAAAGTCTTATTCATTTTGGGTAACCCTGCATTTAAAGGGACTGTAAACGCAATTTCAAGAGATCATCCGCTGACAGAGTGGCATATCCGATTCTGTTAAAGTATAAATTAGATTTCGAGGTTTATGTTTTTTAAAAACTGATTAATTTCATTTGAGGTTTCTCTATAAAACTGAATTGCGCATTCTTGCTTTAGAAAGATCAGAAATTATGAGAATTAAAAACTTTTTTATCCACCACATTATTGATAAGATTTTGGTTGTAAATCGGCCATTTCTCTCTTTTAACAGTCCCTTTATTGCATAGGTAGGGATGGACGGTTCCCACATTGCAACACAGATCGATACTCTCAAATCTGAAGAATTGGTTGAAAAGAAATCTGTTAATTTACAGAATACTCCCAACATGAGAGTTTATCAAAGGATGGAGGTAGAGTAACTGATTTCCTGCCGCAAACTCTGATTTTCTCATCTTAATATCCTTTAAACCCGATGTCGTAGATCTTTGATATTTTATATGAAATAGTCTAAGTTTGAATCAACCAAGGTTTGCAACATCAGGTTGCAGAGATAACGGGATTAAAAATTTTGAGTTTGCATGAAGAACTTCTTCACAATTGTTCAAATATTTTCAAAAAAACTTTTTTTTTATAAAAATTAACATTTTTTAAAACTGACTTGATGAACTTGATGTTCAGGAACTGACTTGATGAGCTTGATAAACTTCAGGAACTGACTTGATGAACTTGATGTTCAGGAACTGACTTAATGGAAATGATGTTCAGAAACTGACTTGATGAACTTAATGTTTAGGAACTGACTTGATGAAGTTCATGTTTAGGAACTGAATTGATGAACTTGATGTTTAGGAACTGACTTGATGAACTTGATGTTCAGTAACTGACTTGATGAACTTGATGTTGAGGAACTGACTTGATGAACTTGATGTCCAGGAACTGACTTGATGAACTTGATGTTCAGGAACTGACTTAATGGACATGATGTTCAGGAATTGACTTGATGAACTTAATGTTTAGGAACTGACTTGACGAAGTTCATGTTTAGGAACTGAATTGATGAACTAAATGTTAAGGAACTGACTTTATGAACTTAATGTTTAGGAACTGACTTGATGGACTTGATGTTTAGGAACTGACTTGATGAACTTGATGTTCAGGAACTGACTTGATGAACTTGATGTTCAGGAACTGACTTGATGAAGTTTAGGAACTGATTTAATGAAGTTTAGGAACTGACTTGATGAAGTTTAGGAATTGACTTTATGGACTTGATGTTCAGGAACTGACTTGATGAACTTGATGTTTAGGAACTGACTTGATGAACTTGATGTTCAGGAACTGACTTTATGAATTTGATGTTCAGGAACTGATGACCCGAATGCAGGATCTGAGTACTGGTGTCCCTGTGAAAACTGTCAAATCTTTTATGACCAAAATTCCGAGTGTGTTTACAGGTAACCATTCAAGTTAGAGGTCTAATTTCTTTATAAATAAGCAGGCCTTGAACAGACTAGGGACATGCATCACACTCCCATATCATAACTCTAAGGACAAAATAAGCAGGCCTTGAACAGTTGGACTAGGGACATGCATCACACTCCCATATCATAACTCTAAGGACAAAATAAGCAGGCCTTGAACAGTTGGACTAGGGACATGCATCACACTCCCATATCATAACTCTAAGGACAAAATAAGCAGGCCTTGAACAGTTGGACTAGGGACATGCGTCACACTCCCATATCATAACTCTAAGGACAAAAAATAGCCCAATCGGAATAGGGTTTAGAGTTTGAGGTGTTTAATAATCAGTTCTTGAAATATATAAATTTTGAATTTTAAAAACAATATTACATTTTCCAAATCGTTCAGGACAAGATATAATTTGCTGGATTATGAAAAATGTTTCTGTGTCTGATCAAGTGGAGGCTCATCATCTAGCGAATATGCTTGCATCACATGGATACTTTTTCCCGATAGGTAAAAACTATTTTTAAAATTTTGATTTAAGTTTTATTTATTTTATAATTCAGCGCTTAAATTATGAATTCTGTTAACTATAGTGAAAACCATAGAATTTTTCCGGGTGGTTCCATGGGGAAAATTATAGGCAGAGGTATGCCGAATATTTTTTTATTTATTTTATAATTCAGCGCTTAAATTATGAATTCATGAAAACTAATTATAACATTTTTATTTCGGTTCGCAGTGCTTTACAGGTTTTGAATAAAAATTAATTTTATTTTTATTTAAATTGAAAACAATTCTAGAAATATTTTATTTGTTTTTAAAAAATCTTGGAACCAAGGTGCTTTTATATAGAGTTAATTTCACATCATGCAGTGAGAACCAGAAAATTCTGGAACAGGAAGACGACTTTGAGACTCAATAGTCCAAATAAACATCAGACACAACAATTGTGTAAACATATTCATTTAACGAAAAAACTGATTTAATAAGTTACTGATGAACTAATTTCTTTGTAACAACATCAAAATTCAAATATCTGTTTAGATGATCATATTCTTTCTGTGAAACCCGACAATAGTTCTCTGTACAGGTAATACATACACAAAGCAGTATGGTACAGTTCTGAGATGGTGCAGTACATGATAACTTCAAAGAGTACATTTCCCACGATTTTGCTTCATTTAAAGATTATTGTCCACAATTTTTATGTGACTGATTCCGATATCAAATATCTAATATGTGTTAGAGCAAATATCTTCCTAATAAATCTTCATTTTCAATATATTAAGAAAATATAGTTTTAGGATTCTATATAGGAACATAACGTTCTTTAAGATTGTTGTTTTAATCTCAAATTAGCCTTTAGTTAAGAGTTTTAAAGGTTCCCTTTAAACTTTTATCTTATTCAAAATAAGAGAGATATCGAAAGATATCTTTGTTTTTCTAGGAAATTAATCCTGTTCAGCTTTCCTATCTTTGCCTTCTTAATTAGCATTTTTTTAAGATCAATAATATCACCAATTTTTGCTCCGAATTTTGGAATGCGCAATGGAGACAATTTATAAGAACAAGGAGGGGAGGGGGGGNTAATTTTTTTAAACGTTTGCATTTTCGAAATGTTGTATTCTTTGCATTCCTGGTGACTATGAGTGTAAGCCTGAGGAAAAAGTAATCCGTAAAAAGGTTAAATATGGGATATTTATGAAACTAACCTTTTTAGCTTAGCGTACTCTTAAATTCTGACATTTCTGTAACAACATCTATTTTTGAATATTTTAAATTTTAAAACCCTGGAAAGTACGAAATTGCGGATAAAGTAATTAAATGAAATTATTGTATTGATAAAAGGATATAATATTCACTAATAAAAGTGTAGTTTAAAGATAAACCTTCAATAAAACAATGAGAGTTATGCACTGATGGCAGAATCAAACTTATATCATGACTTGACACTATTCGAAAATATCTGAAATATGCCCAGAGCTGGGAACTTTAGAATGGTGGATATCGAGATCAGTGCTTGATCCTCTCTTTTTCTTTATCTCGAGACTAACCTAATCTTGTACTTGTATCCTAAAAAGTGTATAAAATCAACCAATCAGAGTCGCGTATCAGAAGCCGGGAAATTTGAAATTTTGCGCGCCATTTAAGATTAATATACAGAAACGGAAGGGACTCTCTAATTCTGAAAAACATGTTTTTGATTTATCTGTACGTTATTTCCAAAAAAGAGTGGATTAAGCAAGAAATCAAAAGTGTCCACATTGGATATTAAGCAGTCGGGATTAAAGTTCCCAGCTCTGAAGATTTTGGTATTCTGATTTATTAGAAAAGAACACGTTTACAGGAGGAGGGAACAACACAGCGCTTAGTTCAAAATAAGACGACCGTTAAAAATCTTTTTTTTCCCTCCAATTAAGAATAATCTGTTTTAAAACTAAACCAAGGATTTCAGTCACGTGATATGGTACAGTGGAACCTATAAAACTGTGAAATAGGAAGACGACATTTAAGCAACCTTTTGTGTATTTTAAGCTGTTAAAAAGCCAATAGTTTGACCGATAGGTTGAAAATGAACTTATACTACGTGAAATGGGTCTGTGTACACTGTACAACTTGAATCTAATAGTCGTCTTCATCTTTTACAGTTGTATGAGCCGCACTGTAGATCGGCTCAATTTCTCCCCCATTAACTAACCCGTGATAACAAATTGATATTTAGGTTTCAGACTCGATATTTCTGGCCCTCCAACTGCTGGGCTCCGGAGAATACAGACTATGCCGTCTATCTCTGCAAGAGAACCATGCAGCACAAGGTCTTTATCATCAAAGTTATCTTGATTATCATGATTATCATATCTTTTTCATCATCTGTATCATCAAAGTTATCTTGATCATCATAAGTATCATATCTTATTCATCATCTTTATCATCAAAGTTATCTTGATTATCATGATTACTATATCTTTTTCATCATCTTTATCATCTTGATTATCTTGATCGACATGATCATCTTGATCATCTTGATCATCTTGATCATCCTGATCATCTTAATCATCTTGAAAATCAGGATTATCTTGATAATCAGGATTAACTTGATCATCTTGATCATACTGATAAACATAATTAACTTGATCGATCTTTATCATCTACATTATCGTGATCATCTTGATCACCTTGGTCATCTTCAGAATCTTAATCATCTTGAAAATCAGGATTATCTTGATAATCAGGATTCACTTGATTATTTTGATCATCTTGATAATATTGATAAACATAATTAACTTGATCATCTTAAAAATTTTGATCTTCTTAAAAATGTTGATCATCTTTATCATTATTGATCATCTTAATCATTATTGATCATTTTGATTATCATCATTATTTGATCATTTTGATTATCTTTATTATCTTGATAATCTTGATTATTACATCAATTAGAGCATCTTGATTATCATTTTTATCTTAATAATCTTGATCATGTTATAATCTTAATAATCTTGATCCTCTAGATTATCTTCATTTTTTGATTATCTTGATCAAAATTATAAGTGATTTTTTTTGATCATTTTTCTTCATTTTCAATCTTGATACATTCATTAACTTTATCATCTGACATCCACAACATTTTCATCCGTATAAAACATCTAGCTTTATAGAAAGCTGCACTTCTCCCCCCCCCCCTCTTATTCTCTGTGCCTTGTATAGTGTTAAGCAATCTGGAATTATGTCTATAAAAGTGAATTCACTTTTTCGGAAAATTCAATAATGAAATATTTTCAAATTTTATAAATTTAAAATGTAAAAATCTAAATCTTGTACATTCTATGTTTTGGACTCTCTCAGTCGAATATATTGAATAGTTATAATTCAGGTTTTTCCCACGAAAATATCTACAGTTCTCTAACTAGTTCTGAAACTTTTCATGTTTTGCAAAAAAAGAATAATAAAAGTGATTATTAACATATAATTTTTTGAAATTAGTTTTATCACAATTTACAAAAAATATGTATACTTCAACCCTTTTAATAATTATCTAAGCATAAGTAAAGAAATTTTCGTTTTTTATTTGAAAATTTACCAAGTCCGCCCACGGTTCTTTGACTTTAAACTTTTTGCAACAAAATAATACAGGTTAAAAGTTTCTTCTTAATACACCAAATAAAATTGGAATTATATACTGACTTAATTTAATCGTCTTTGTTTATTTGTGAAAACAGTTTTAGAAGGATCCCAGTTACAACACTCTTTGTCATAAACCTTTTCAAATCAAATGACGAAAAGAAGCCGTCTCTTAATTTCCATGATTATTTGGAACCATTTTACTGGGTTTGTCATCAGTTCTGTCATAAAAGTTCTGATGATCTGATGTCAATAATTTATGCTAATCCATCCTCAACTATGCTTCAGTGGGTACTGAGCCCACGATTTAAAAGCTTCGGCTCGGGTCAAAATTCCTTCAAACCCCACTCTTAGACCCAACTCGGACTCGACTTACGTTGTTAGGCCTGAGCTGAAAAGTTTAGAATGTAATATCCTCAATCCCGATCTGTTAATTAATCAGAGCTGAAAACTTTAGAATGGTGGATATCGGGATTAATGCTTAATCCTCTCTTTTTCTTAATCTCCAGATTTAATATTGCTTGTTCTCCTCTCATTTTTAATCTCCATATTAATTATCCGATCTGGATTAAGGATATCCCATTCAAAAGTTTTCAGCTCTGGAGATTAAATTCAAGAGGACAACAAGCAATATTTAATCTGGAGATTAAGAAAAAGAGTGGATTAAGCATTAATCCCGATATCCAACATTCAAAAGTTCCCAGAGCTGAAAACTTTTGAATGGGATATCCTTAATCCTGATCGGATAATTAATCTGGAGATTAAAAATGAGAGGAGAACAAGCAATATTTAATCTGGAGATTAAGAAAAAGAGTGGATTAAGCATTAATCCCGATATCCACCATTCTAAAGTTTTCAGCTGAGTTCTGATTTTAGAAAATTAGATCCAACTTAATTCCAAAAGCCCATGCCATAAATAAGGCCCAACGACAGCTTAGACCTGAGTCGTATTTTCTTGAATTTTTTAAATCGCGGGCTTTGCAGTGATCTGCAGTAAACTGACCGAAGAAACAGTAGAGTTCAGTAAAGATTGACTCTTTTAAAATAGTCATTTTAAATTACAATTACAGTCCATAAATAGGAATATCTGATGACGGTGGTTTTCATGTTTATGTGCGTCAAACTTTATTCAGAATAAATTCACTTCAACATCTTCAATTTTAGAATTTAAAGAATTCAAAATTAAATTGAATTAAATTAAACTTCAGCCCTCCTTGGGGAGGGTAGGAAGGCCAACCACATCAATCTCTAGTCCGAACCACATTCTTCTCATTTTCTCGTCCGAACCACATTCTTCTCATTTTCTCGTCCGAACCACCTCGAAATCCTCGTCCTTTCAATATTATTTTTTTAAAGTGTCTAATCCTTTCATATAAAACTATTTTTTAAGATCAAGCCACGTTAGGGCATAAATGAAATATCAAATTTTTGTTCAAAGTAAAAAGTTTCAATTGAATTAAAGATTTCAAGTTTAATGTCCTTAAATATGTACACCTTTTTTACGCGCATTTTCAGATATTCCTGGTGTAGAATGCCGCACATAATTCCAATTGTTTATAGAACTTTAATCTTTTTTGTTAACTATAGTGAAAACCATAGAATTTTTCCGGGTGGTTCCATGGGGAAAATTATAGGCAGAGGTATGCCGAATATTTTTTTATTTATTTTATATCACGAAGGTTAGCCTTTATGGAGGCAGAAGAGATTTAAGTTTTACCTAACGAATGTTTGACATCATTCTCGTGGATTTGAAGATTCCAACATCTCAAAATCCTCGGAAAACTTTATTCTAGTCATGTTTTGTGCCCTAACGTCGCCATATTTTTAAAAATTTTTGAAAGGACGAGGATTTCGAGGTGGTTCAGACGAGAAAATGAGGAGAATGTGGTTCTGAATAGAGATGTGGTTGGCCTTCCTCCCCTCCCTTTGGGTTTTCTATGAATTACGATGAAATTTTTAGTTTGTTAATAGCCTCCATCCCGCAATTTACTCACAAGCATAGAGTTGCGGCAACGCGCTCATAATATTTTGTACATGCCTGTTGAAATTGATCTTCTCTTTTACCAGAACTAACACAGTCTACCTATCTGATTTAAAATAATTTAAAATCGAATCGCTTGCAAAACTGCGTTATTTTTGGCAAAGATTGAATTTCTCCTTACCTTCAAAAACATTTTTAGAGAAGATCAACAGCATGCAGAAATGTACTGCAAAAAATATTACATTTTAGCAGGAAATCGCAATAAATCACAGTCTTTAACAAAAATTAAACAACTATTGCCCCAGTGTGCTAGAATAACTACTCATATTACCAAAAACAAATAGGATTAATATGTTTAGGTTATAATAGTTGCTATAACGACGTCTTTAAAATCTTAAATTAACGCTGCATTTTTCTAAAATAAGCATTTAAAAGTAAAGACATTTTCCTGGAGGATATAAGGGGAATAGGGGTGCGGCTAAGGAAGCGCTACAGGTTAGCGCGTTGCCGCAACTCTATGTTTGTGAGTAAATTGCAGGGATTATAAGCGTTATTTCAATTTTCCCTCCATTTACATGTCCGATTTACAACGGTACCTCATAAAGCTCTGTCTGATCAAGTATGAATTAGATATCCATGTTTAACACTGGTCATTTTCAACTGTGTATTGCGCATTTCTACTTCAGGAATACAATGAATGAATCAATAAAATTAAACACTTTTATACCTAGAAAACGACATTATCTTCAACATACTTGATCATATAAAACTTTTAAGGGTACCGTTGTAAATCGGACATGGTACGCTGTAAAGGGAGTTTAAGGGTACCGTTGTAAATCGGACATGGCACTCTATGTAAAGGGAGTTTCACTTGAAAAACCTAGTATGGAGATTTTAAAACTAAAAACTGATAAGTAATGATAATAATAAAAGAAAAAAGGTAGTTTGTCTTGAAATTCCAATGCATATATTCTAAATTTTGATTCTTTTTTCTCGTTTAATGGTAAAAATCCAAGTTTATTCTTTTAATTCTAATATTCGTTAAAGCTCTTTTTCTATATTCTATATTTTTACATTTTGGCGTGAAAGATTCCCCTAGTTTCTCATTATTATAGAAAGTTCCCCTGGAAAGAATTGCACTGAAGTCTATTTAAAATACAGGGTGTCCCACATTGTATTAGGTAGGAACTAATCAGAACATTTCAAAAGAATGAATTAGTTTTAAAAAATTATTGAGGCTAAAATAAAAAATGTCTCGCAAAAAATACTAGGTTTTTCGAGTCTTATGGGCGTATTTTGGCGTTAAAGCTTGGAGATAATCCAATATGATATGGGACGCTCTGTATATCCCTGCACCTGCTCTCGGGTTTTTAGAGTTGATTGATTGATTTGGGTGAGAGGGTTAGTCTGACCAAGAGAAAGATTAAGTATACCCACAAAGGATAAAAACATAACGACGACCTGAAACTCGGTGAATTACTGTCTTGAATTAAGTATCAAAATACAGTGGTCGTCGTATATATCAATACACTGAAGATGACTTTCGATTTCAAATTTTGATTTCTACTGAGCTTTCAAACAGCATAATTAAACATAAACTGTCATTAACAGCTTCTTTGTAAATTGAAAAAAAGATTGTTAGAAAACAAACCTAAAATAGAAAATTCATGTCTTGATTGTATTGATATAATCATTGGATATAATAATTAATATAATATATTAAACTGTTTTTGCAATAATAAAATCTGGTCCACAGCTGAAGGGAATATACAGGAATGAAAATACAGAATACAATCTTTTTTTAAGTCTCATCTTTTATAGGTCACCCTGTATATATCATGAATTTATATTAGAAAACTTGAAAACCAAGTTTAGAAAACAATAGAATTGCTTCTGCTCCATCTTTATTGAGTTAACTATAGTTACCATCTAGCAAACTAATCAGCAAGCTAACCAAGCTAAACAACTAAATAGCAAACTAACCAGAATGTAAACTAACTAATACAGCCAAGCTAAGTTAAAATCTATCAAACATAGGATCCTGTTAAAACAATTTGGAAACATCGGTAAACCTGCGAGAATGTTTTCAGCTGGGTTCAAAAATTCTAAATTGGGTTGATTGACTTTTATAGGGAAAGTTTAGATTTCAGCGTTTTCCCTATACATAACTCAATTTAGAATCCTTAATCTTGTCTAAGAACATTCTTGTGGTTCTCCTGAGTACTTCAATCAATATTTCAGGCAAATCGGCCAAGGGGTCCATGTGCTATGATCGGCAATCCAATCAGACAATCAGAAAAACAGAAATTACGACTTTATTTATGTAGATACACGGAACTTCTCCGTGTTCTAGACGAGATTAGAGCTGACGGGTTACGAGGCTGAGAACCGGCCTGGCGAGGTTCAGATATAACTTCTCTATATCCTAGACGAGGCTAGAGCTGGAAGATTACGAGGCTGAGAACCTGGCGAGGTTCAGATATAACTTCCTAGACGAGGCTAGAGCTGGCGGATTACGATGCTGAGAACCTGGCGAGGTTCAGATATAACTTCTCTATATCCTAGACGAGGCTAGAGCTGGAAGATTACGAGGCTGAGAACCTGGCGAGGTTCAGATATAACTTCTCTATATATTATAGACGAGGCTAGAGCTGGAAGATTACGAGGCTGAGAACCTGGCGAGGTTCAGATATAACTTCTCTATATCCTAGACGAGGCTAGAGCTGGCGGATTACGAGGCTGAGAACCTGGCGAGGTTCAGATATAACTTCTCTTTATCCTAGACGAGGCTAAAGCTGGCGGATTACGAGGCTGAGAACCTGGCGAGGTTCAGATATAACTTCTCTATATCCTAGACAAGGCTAGAGCTGGCGGATTACGAGGCTGAGAACCTGGCGAGGTTACAGAAAATGTTCACGAGAAAATGGGAATTTATCTTTATGCAAGCTGAAGCACAATCAAAGGTTGGTTTCATATCTTGTATATCAAGCAAAGTGTATAAAACAAATTAAGTTTCAACAATTTCCTAAAATTGTTTTCTCGCTTAAAATACTGAAAATGTTACACCCCCCCCCCCTTGAAATAACCCTTAGTTACGCCTAAAACTTTTGAACAATAAAGTTTGATGTAGAAAGAATATTAATGTTTCTGGGACAAAATCCCGTTAAAAGTTAGAGTTTCCCATTAGGCTGTAAAGCTCTGCTCTGGTTTAAACATTAAATTGATAAACTGAACCTTAAACCATACCCAAGCTTTAACCTAGGAGATAACATACTAACCTACTCCCTACTCCTCCCTTCTCTCTACTCCCTACAAACTGTTTGTTTAGATTGATAAGAAGCGAGAGAAGCATGAAAGAAAAATTTTAGACTCTCAGGTAGTATTTATTGTAATGTCCGATCGTTGGACCGAAATTTTGAAATTAAAACAGTTGTTTTCATCTATACAACTGTGGAAAAGAAAAAGGAAGGTTGGAATCAAGTTATGGTTTTAAACATGAACCACAGGAATTGTACACTGTGCTTGTGCAGTGTGCACAGACCAATTTCCCTTTATAAGTCGATTTTTAAGCTTGTTAACTTCAATTACACATATATAATATTAGGCTTTTAGAGCGCTTCACGCCCATTTTCTTTTTCAACTTTTAACTGTGGCTTTATCTGTGAGCATCTTCTCTTTGTACAGTATAAAACAAAAACAAAAAAAAGTATGCGGATTTCATAATATTTTTTCGTGCCTTTTCAAAATTTTACAAAAATAAAAAACTTTTAAACACTAATTTTTGAAATTTTGATAATTCTTAAACCTTCCCTGGGGTCACGTGAGGTCCCACAAATACTTTGGCCTGATCGGTTCAGCCGTTTTGACGTTTATTGGATACATGGTTCTCATTTAAATTGAAAGATGTATGCCCGAGCCTGAACCGATCGTAGAATCTAAAATGTTTTTTTTCTAAACATTTTTACCTGGTCTGTTAGTAAAAGAAAAACTGAGTATTAAAGGTGTATTCGCCTAAAAATAAAAGGGGGAAGTGTATAATCCGTTTTAATCCAGTGTTTCTGTAAAGAAAAATAAACGTAAATTTTTCTCCACAACTCAAAAATGCTGGGTTTTTTTACTAGTGGAGCCATCTGGACTGTCATTTGCTAAAAGGTATCTTTACAACCTGATGTTAAATTTTGATATTTCAAACTATGAATCGTGCTAAATCAAACAGTCAAAGCTTTTTTTTAAATCAAAGGTTTACACAATCAGTTTGTAAAGATAGTAATTAGAAAAATAGATTTTGATGCAAGTAATCAGTTCCTTTGTCCACAAAAAAACATCTAAATTTCCCTCTTCTCATTAAAATATCATCACGGTTTCTTAACTCATAAAGCTTCTAGAATTACAAAACATAATTTTGCTGATGGAAGAGGATGAGAGAAACAAAATAGAATTTACTTATTATGTAAATTGAATTATTTTCTTATTTTGAATATTTTCTTCCTAGTGTTTTTATTAGAACTTAGCATCATTACAATTATTAAGTTCAGTAAATTTAGATTTTATCTTCACTAGAAAATAAAAGCAATTCGTGGCCACTTATTGAAAAAAATGAATTTAGGAGCGTGGGTTTTGGGACCTGCACAGACCCCCACCAGGCCAGATAAATACTACAGAATTAGATATGAAGGTTATTTATTTATTGAAGCATTTATTCTATTATCTAGTCAAGCATTCATTTTTTTATCTATATTTTTCAGCTATTTACTTTATTCATTTTTTCATTTTCTGTTATCTTTTCATGCAATAATTCTGCTATATATTCAATATTCATTCCATTATTCTGCTATTCATTTATGCATTTTTTCTGTCATCTATTTATGCATTCATTCATCAGTTATATATCAATACATTAATTTTTGTATAGATTTATGCATTCATTCAGCCCTCGATTTAAGCATTCATTTTGTTATCCATTCATGAATAACTTGCTACAACATACCTTCATAATTCATTAATTTATTTGCTTGTGAATATATTCATTTATTCATTTTAAAATCTATTTTAGTTTATCTACATTCCAATATTGTTTCTTTCTTATATTTGTTAGATTCATTACTGTTAAAAGATTTGTTTGAAAATTCTTCATTAAGATAGTTTTTTTAATCCTTTTAAAAAAATTATAGAGGTTTGAAAATAAAACAACGATTTGGTTTTTTGCGAGTGATCTCCTCATAGAAGTTATTAAACCATAATTCAATTACAATGTTTTTATTTTTTATGGGAGAAAATGTGCTTTAAATATCACAAAATGTGTTTTCTGAACATTTCAAGATAATCTGAAGTTCCCATAGTTCTCGTGAATGTAAATAAACAAAATTAAATTATTTTAATATTTTTAGATTAAATTTTTTTCTTTGATGTGCTTTTCTGATTCTACGAACTGTTAATTGTCTCAGATACAATTTATTTTCATATTTTTTTTCTTAGAAAAATGTATGGTTCAATTCTCCAGTTTAATATTTTTTTATTTTTTTCTAAAGTTTATTTTTCATGCACAAAATTTTGATGTAATTTAAGTTTTATAGATTAAAATATGCATAGTATTGACATTAGCTATTCATCTAATCATTAATTTTAATCTGATTATAAATCAATCAATCAATCAACTAATCATTTATTTATAATTTAATTTCTTTTTCTTTCTTTCTTCAATTCTTTAATCTTATCTCAGAATCATAGATTATCGTCTTAATCTTATAAACCCCTTTAAGAACCATTATTTTGTACTGTTTTGTACTATTTTGTACTATTTTGTACTATTTTGTACTAAACTAATACATTTGTTAAAAGTAAAACAAAATTTTTTTAAACCTTAAAATCTAAATAAAAGGATTAATAAGAACCTAAGCAGAGCATAACAAAGTACACAGACTACAAAAAGTACACATAGTACACAAAAAGTACACATAGTACACAGAGTACACAAAGTACACAAAGTACACAAAGTACACAAAGTACACAAAGTACAAAAAGCACACAAAGCACACATAGGACACAAAGTTCACAAAGTACAAAGTGTACTCAAAGCCCACAGAGTAGACAAAATAATTATACTACACAAAGTACATAGACCACGCAAAGTACACAGAGTATACAAAGTACACAGAGTATACAAAGTACACAGAGTATACAAAGTACACAGAGTATACAAAGTAGACAAAGTTCACAAGGAAAGGAATTCTCTATAAGAATTTTAGCTTCTAAAGGTTTCTAGCCTGGACTTCAGAAGAATTGCCGTGATATTTTCTTTGTTTCCTGTAGCTTGTTTGCTACATCGACTCAACAATTCTTGTAATTTCACCCAAACTAATTTTTTCTTTATTATAAATTATCAGAGAGCTTTCTTAAAGATTTGGAAGCAGATACATTAATATATCTATATATTTCTAATTAAATCTGAATGTATCTATATATTTCTGATTGAATCTGAATATATCTATATATTTCTGATAAAATCTGAATATATCTATATATTTCTGATGAAATCTGAATATGTCTATATATTTCTGATGAAATCTGAATATATCTATATATTTCTGATGAAATCTGAATATATATATATTTTTCTGATGAAATCTGAATATATCTATATATTTCTGATGAAATCTGAATATATCTATATATTTCTGATTGAATCTGAATATATATCTATTTATTTCTGACTAAATCTGAATATATCTATATATTTCTGATTTAATCTAAATATATCTATATGTTTCTGATGAAATCTGAATATATAGATATATTTCTGATGAAATCTGAATGAATCTGAATATATCTGAATATATCTGAATATATCTGAATATGTCTGAATATATCTGAATATATCTTAATATATATTAACTAGCAGAAGTGCCCGGCGTTGCCGTGGAATTTTTTAAAATCGAATTTTGAAAAAAATTAGATTTTTGATGAAAAAAATTATTTTTTTAGCCTATGGTACTCTCAGGATACCCATTGACCCTAAAAAAATTTCAGCCCAATCTGTCCAGCCCTTTGGCCAGTTATAGCTAACATATATACAAAGATATAAGCAATTAGAGCTTTATTATATAGACTAACTTATAGTATCTACTATAGTATATTTACTTGCAAATAATCTATAGTTATCATATAGTTATTATATAGACTGACTTATAGTCTCTACTATAGAATATTTACTTGCAAATAATCTATGTTCTCCACGTAAATATATTAATGTATAATATTGCATTCAAACTTTATTCCGTAGAATATACTGTAAATCAATCATATATCAAAACATATCTGAATTTATCGAAACATATCTAAATAATGTCCCACGAAAGATGACAGTTGGTGAATAATTTAAAATTTCTTCTTCCATAATATGTCAAGTTGTTTGTTACCAAAGAGAATAATAATTAATATTTTTTGGCATCCATATTATAGTAAAATTGATTTCTAAGTAAAATATATTTTATAGTCTCTACTATAGTACGGTATATTTACATATATTTACGTAAATACATTAATGTGTAATATTGCATTCAAGCTTTATCCCGTAAATATGCATAGAATAAACTGTCAATCAATCATATATCTAACTAAATATATCTGATTTTATCTGAATATACAGGGTGTCCCACGAAAGATGACAGTTGGTAAATAATTTAAAATTTCTTCTTCCATAATATGTCAAGTTGTTTGTTACCAAAGAGAATAATAATAAATATTTTATGGCATCCATATTTTAGTAAAATTGATTTCTAAGTAAAATATGTTTGAGTAAAGTTTTTTTAAACTAAATAAACTGCAAAAAGTCTTAAATATCTGATACAGCATATGGAAGAAGACATTCAAAACTATTCACCAACTGTCATGTTTCGTGGGACACCCTGTATCTAAACATATTTGAATATGTCTGAAGATATCTAAATATATTTGAATACATTCATTCAGATATATTTAAATATATCTGGATGTATATGAATTTATCTTCATATATATGAATATATCTGAATATATCTGAATTTATATGAATATATATGAATATATTTGAATATATATGAAGAAATATGTTATGAATTTATTTTAATATATCTGAATATATCTCAAAATATATGAAAGGTTAAGAGGTTAATCTATTAACGTTTTCTCTGCATTTTTAAACGAAGAATCCCTTGAAATACCGGGAACACTCCCTTTAAACGAAGAATCCCTTGAAATACCGGGAACACTCCCTTTAAACGAAGAATCCCTTGAAACACCGGGAACACTCCCTTTAATTCTCTCTCTCTCTATGTTTAGGTGATACTCCGTCTGAACCATATATTTGGAATATGCGAGGAGGAGGCCGAGGGAGGAGATTGCAACAATAATAAATCATTTCATAATAAATCATCATAATATCCATCTTTAATACGGGAATTGTCATAAAAAGGTCAATTTTTTGTAATTCGAAAGACTTGTTCAAATTTGTAATTATCTGGGGAAATAACATATACAATAATCATATACAATGGCGTGTGAAATGAACTTCTGCAATTTGTAATTTTCGAGTAAATGTTTCACATCGGAACCCTTTTAATCTTTATCACTTAAAATTATATTTTAAGAAGCCCTAACCCTAGTTTAGGTTTGTATTCTCTGTGTCTGGAAAACCTTAGTTTTTTCCAAGTTGATAAACTAACTTTATATTAACCTCGATTTTCCATTAGTTGATTGAACGCCATGAAACGCTGAGACCAGGGGGGAGGGCAGAAGTCCTCAATTTGTAATCACCGCCACCCAAACGTGTTTTGCGGCATGGGTGCTCGTCAATTTGTAAAATCTTTTTTTCTGAGATTTTTTATCTAATTAACAGAGGTCAATATGGTCTTATTTCTAAGAAATAAACGATTTAATGGTAACATTTTTATTTCTGATTACAAATTAAGGTGGGGGAGATTACAAATTGAGGAGCGCGCATGTCGCAAATTGAGAACTTCTGCTTACCCCCCCCCCCCGCCTGAGACCCTTCATCCAACGTTATAGGGAACAAAAATTATCGTTTTAGTCAATTAATTTTTTTTTAAATAGAAACAAAAACATTTATTTTGCAAATAATAGAACAAAATTTCCGGCCACAGTCTCTCATACTTCTAAAGCCCCCCCCCCCCCCACCCTCCGAAGGAAGTAGCGATGGTAGCTCTTTTTCAGAGTGAGGGGGGAGGAGTCACGGAACTATTAAAAATGAACCAAATGTACTTTTTAAACAGGCAAAAGAATAAAGTTTATAAGCTTTACGACCTTTAATTTGCAATTTTTCTCATGAAATTTTAGCAAATATCATTTAATTATGGTTTTTTGAGTTAATGTTTCAAGAACTACAAACAAATTTTTTATATCTTGTTTTAGGGGGAATTCAAATTTAAGATTGAAAATTATTTTTTGCCATTTAAAAGGAGTTTTTCCGTTTTTAATATTTTATTTGTTTTAAGTAAAAAGTGAAATTGGCAAATCCAAAAGATGCATTTGACATATTTATTACTGGGGTTTAGCTTATCATGAGATTAAGTACTGACAAACCAAGATGTGCACGCAAAATTCAAGCTATATTTTGCCAATTACTCATTTTGCACTTAAACTAGAAAATACCGCGTTTCATATTAAAAAATTTAAATTTCTAGGGCTACAAAAAAGAATAAGTGAGTTTGTGAGGTAAACCCTAAGGCAAAGGCGCTTTAAATTCGAGGCTGTCTAACAATTTGATAACTGACTTCCAGAATTGTCTTTATCTAAGGTTGCAATATCTCCGGGTAGGATCCTGAGACAAGACTGGAGAATCTGAGAAGAATTAGGAATAGAGAACTATCCAGAGGAGAACGAAGAACCGTCAAGTAAATTCAACTTTTTGAAAAACTAATCAATTAAAAAATTTAATATTTTTCATGCATAGATTTCTTAAAATAATAAAGATTTAAATAATTTGACAAATAAAAAATAAAGAAAAATATGGGGAAAACTGTGAATTTGGGGGTTTCCCTCTTTTTGCAATCCGGCAGCTCAAAAAATTGAGTTCTTGCCACAAAATCTGATTTTTTAATCATTATATCTTAGAAGCCTGATGGTGTAAACCTTGACATTTCAAACTTAGATTTTTTGATCTAACATAATTAATAGTTTCTTTGAAACTAAAGTGTTCTTGGAGACTTTACAATTTTCTAACATTATACTTATACTTATATACTTATATGGACATTTCAGAAAACGTCCACAATCGTCAGGTACTTTAATTAAAGTTGATATTATGATCTTTATTAAAGTTAATATTAAGATCTTCATTAAAGTTAATATTATGATCTTTATTACAGTTAATATTATGATCTTTATTAAAGTTAATATTATGATCTTTATTAAAATTAATATTCTGATCTTTATTAAAGTTAATTTTATGATCTTTATTGAAGTTAATATTTTGATCTTTATTAAAGTTAATATTATGATCTTTATTAAAGTTAATATTATGATCTTTATTAAAGTTAATATTATGATCTTTATTAAAGTTAATATTATGATCTTTATTAAAGTTAATTTTATAATCTTTATTAGAGTTAATATTATGATCTTTAATAAACTTTAAAAGGGTCATTAACGGAATAACTAATGATAATCGATAAACCTTTGTATTTATATCACGGTTGTGTTTGTTTAATAAGTGTAAGTACGAGGTGTGAATGTGATCAATAAGTTTCGCTAAAAAAACAAGGGGTACTTGTAGAAGTCTCAGTCCTGTAGTTTTTTTTAAAGTTCACTTTAGTTATACAGGATTATTTTTCAGATCAGTTGATGTTAATTAGATCTTTATTGCAATGTTAGTGGCGTTCTACTAAAATTAATCAGCTTAGTTCGCCACAACAAAATATTTTCAGAATGGTCTCAAACTTGATCCATCAGATTCTGTTTTAGACCCTTTAAGAGTGATCTAAAGAAAAAAGAGATTGAGTATTGAATTCATTGAATGTATGAAAGACTTTTGAGGATTTATTATTATTAAACAAAACTTCTGGGGGATTTTATATTTATATGGTTTTGATTTACATATATAAGATCCATAATCAATGTAATTCCTTTGTTCCTATGTCAGAGACTTTGGGACAAAGGAATTGAGTCTTTGCCACAAACTCTGAATTTATAATCGTTATATCTTTAGAACCCAATGCCGTAAATCTTTGATATTTCAAACTTATATTATTTGATCTAACAGAATTCATAGTTTGAAATATCTAAGGTCTACGACATTGGAATCCAAAGATATAGGGTTTAGAAAAGCAGAGTTTGCGGCAAAGACTCAATTCCTTTAATCTGAAAATCTTTGTCATTTTTAAATTTTGCTTTACAACTTTGTTTACTATGTAAAATCATGTATCAGGCTGTCTGGCTAACATACTTCTTGAACCCATGCTAATACGGTTTGAACAATTTGCAATATTTATGTTTTTGGGTCTTGTTCGTCTTTTCCCCCCCGGACATGTCATAATTTTTAAAATATTCATTTTTCCCTTCTTGATCATAAAATTGTTTTAAATGCGTTCTGAATCATGTTTATGGGTTCTGCTTGGTTTTTGTATCGTCTTAAAAAAGAATTTTTTGGTAACCGAGCCTCCAAAGTGTCCCCTTTCTTTGGTAAATATTCCAAATACTCCTTTGCTGTGACAACGAAGCTAATCCACCTTCAGGAGAACACTCCTTACATCACAACAACAATCTGCTTGGCGCGAACCTTGCCTAAAATGTATCCTGCACAGATATAGTGAACTTTAAAAAGAATTTGGGGCTGAGACTTCTTTAAGTACCCCTAAGAAAATTTTAGCGAAACTTCTTGATCACAGGAATATTAATAAATTTATGAAAATGTATATTTTGTTAGATTAAGTAAATGCGGGGAAACGTATATAGAATTCTTCCAACAATACCAACAGTATGATGCTTTACTCTGCCAACAGGTAGATATACAGGGTTACCCACAAAGGATGAGAATGTAAAGACGACCTGTAACTATCTAAATACGATGATTCCAAGCTTAAATCAAGCTTTTTGCCTTGTATATAGTCTGCTTTTGGCTTGTTTAATGATTAGGCAAAGGAAGAAACAGGTTTACAGTTTTAAATTGAATTGTGAAAATAAGAGAACAGACAGTTTAAACTTCGTACAGTCATCTTTAAAGTCTCATATTTTGTGGGTAACCCTGTACACAGAATAGATATAATACTAATAGATAAACAAGATAAATTAGATAAAATAGATATCCCTGTATTTAGGAAAGTATAAACCCCTGTATTTAGGAAAGTATGAGTATCTGTATTTAGGACAATATTAGCACTCATATTTAGGAAAGTATGAGTCCCTGTATTTAGGAAAGTATGAGTCCCTGTATTTAGGAAAGTATATATCCCTGTATTTAGGAAAGTATGAGTCTCTGTATTTAGGAAAGTATTAGCCCCCGTATTTAGGAAAGTGTGAGTCACTGTAGTTAGGAAAGTATAAACCCCTGTATTTTGGACAATATTAGCCCTCATATTTAGGAAAGTATGAGTCCCTGTATTTAGGAAAGTATATATCCCTGTATTTAGGAAAGTAAATATCCCTGTATTTAGGAGATATGAGTCCCTGTATTTGGAAAAGTATAAACCCCTGTATTTAGAAAAGTATGAGTCCCTGTAGTTAGGAAAGTATAAAGCCCTGTATTTAGGAAAGTATAAACCCCTGTATTTAGGAAAGTATAAACCCCTGTATTTAGGAAAGTATGAGTCCCTGTATTTAGGAAAGTATGAGTCCCTTTGTTTAGGAAAGTATGAGTCCTTGGATAACTGATAATACTGATGTATGGGAGGGGGAAAGATGCGCTAAAGATCTACCAGAGAGGAGAATAAAACGTTGGACATTTTCAGGTTGGTGAATTCTTATGTAGTAACTCCCCCCCATACTCACTTCTGGTGAATTCTTATTTATTAACCCCCCCCCTTCTTCCCTTACACTCACTGTTTTGATTTTTCCAGTCCATTTAACACAACGTGGTGGATATTTATTTTAAGCCCATTTTTCCAGCGAACTAACGCTTTAAACGGGTTGAATAGTGCTAGGTATGTCTTGTCTGTTTGTATCAAATTAACGTCAAAAACGGAAAACCGATTTGGCCTAAAATTTTATGACCCAATGTAAATTTTAGGGGCGATCAAAATTGACAAATTTTGCCTGGAAAAAACGTAAAATTTTACGATTTTTGAAAGAAAAATTATAAATTCATAAAAATCCGTGACTTTTTTACTGAAGGAAGACGAAAAAGTGGTGACTTGAAAAGCAACAGTTTAAAGCTAAAATTCAAAAAAGTGTTTACTTTAATAGTTAAAAATTAATAAATAGTTAAATTTTTCTGTCCCATCTTTAACCTAGAAAAACGGGTTATAATCAATAATCAACAATTTTGAATAAAGTACATTTCCCCCAATACATTATACATGTAGATATTATGTCGAAAAATAAATATTTATTACACATACATATATTCCAGTGATCTGTATATAGAATAGTAATGTTTATATTGTCACCTAATAAACATGAATATACACAAAAGAGACAACTCCACCCCCCCCTCCCCCCCCTCCTCCACTCCTCTCCTCCTCCCTCCCTTCTGCAATAAAACATGAATTGAGCCCAGGAATAATAGAATATAATGTAAGCAGAGGTGTGTTGGTAAAGCATACATTATAAAGGCGCTAGCTACGACTTCAGCTTTATGCTGTTTTTTCCTCCATAGCCAATGGCCATATCGCACATTTGCTCTATCACGTTATTTTCTTTATGGACCATTTCGTTTATTTACCATTTGATCTAAAACTATACACGTCCTTTGCTCTATATTTCAAACCTAGCCCCTCTGCCCAAACCTAGCCGTAGTTTTTGGCTTTCTAACTCTGGTCTGTAAGGGCATAGTCTCCCACCAAAAAATAACAAAACGTCCAATATGAATATTATAGTATGTTGTTTAAAAGGGTTGTCCCAAAAATTATATTAAATGATTGCAATTTCAGGCCTGGGGTCTTTGATTAGAATTATTCGTCTTTTTTTTCCTTTTTAGCAGAATAAAAGATGCCTCGCAAAGTTGATTGAATTCCAAAATTTGAGCTGCTGTATTTGTACCATTGCAAAAATTATTTTGTTCCAGATTGAATATATAAAACATGAACAGAAAATTAGCTCTTTCTTAACTAACAAATACCATAGATAAATATGGGGTTAAATTGTTTTTTTGCTTCCCATGTTTTTAAAAGAACTTTGGTGACACTGGAAAAATTATACTTTTAAAAAACTACTTTTTAGAGGTGTGTTCTAAATAAGAAATATATATATATAAATGTCGTGTTTAAATAACCAGGGTGAATGGCGAGGGGGATGATAATGATAATGATGATAATCTTCAAAATTGAAAAAAAAACCTTTGTGGAACGGTTTGAAACGAAACTTAGAGAAAAAAGAAGAAAAAAATTTAAAGAAAATGAGTTTATGTTTCAACAACTTAAAGTTTAGCGAGTAAAAAGTAAAAACTTTCAAAACCTTAAAAAGTTTTCAGTCTTTGTAAGTTTAAAAAGGTAAACCAACATATATTTAAACATATTTGCACAAGAGAAAAAATATAGAAAAAAACTTGATTTAAAGAGTTGAAAAAGTTAATATTTATGAATATCTTATTGGTTCCGTAGAAACCAGTTTTATAGTTGTTGCACAGTATATCTTTTGTAGGAACGGGACAACACGTTTATAAACTTAAGAAAATTGCATTTAAAATTAAATAGTTTATGTTTTTAATCATAACTTTTTTTTTCGATGAGCTTTTGAGAAGAAGTAGAATGTTTAAAATTTCTTAAAGGCACCCATACTCATTCTTATGCGTAAAATACTGGAGGAGCTACGCGGTCACAAAGTTGTACCAGAAGTGTTACATAGAATTTACCTTATATTTCAAGTTTTCATGACAAGTTCTATATATAAAAGAACTGTGTTTCCGATATTGATTTTGTTACTTTTAACTCAGGTTGGGAGTTGTTAAGAGATCCTATTGGACGAGATCATTTCTTAACTTTCCTAGAAAGAGAATATGCAACAGGTAGATGAATACTGTGGTACCCACAAAAGATGAAACTTCAGCTACGAAGTCTACACTGTCCGTTTCCTTAAATTTATGATTGCCTGATTATTTGAAAGGCTATAAAAAGACTATATTTAAGACACACGACTTATTTAGCCTTCGACATGTCATTTTTTTAGAGTTTTAGGTCGTCTTTGCAGTCTTGTCCCTTGTGGGTGACCCTGTACTTTCTGTCTTTATCTATTTTTTTAAAATATGTAAATGAAACTTTTCATTATTCAGTTTTCGTAATCAGTTTCTTTTGTAATGTGAAGTACAAAGTCAGTTGTTTAATATAAAAAGTCATCTGTCCAACGTACAAATTCAGTTTTAAAATATGCAAAATAAGCTATATAATGCACAAAACCAACATTAAAATGCACAAAAAAAGCTTTATAATGTCAGTTGTTAAATGCTTCTTAAATCATGCTAGTTTTGCTTGCAGGAGACTGAAAGTATTTTCCTTGTTTATTTTTTGAGCTAAAAATAAAAGTTTACGATAGGAAGGCTAAAAGTAAAAAAAATAATTTTGTTCAAAATAAAAAAATGGGTCGCTTGAAATAAAATAAACGCATTTAAAACACTATTGTCCAAAATTAAAGTAAGCCTCTTTGGTTACATCGCCATTCTTTCCAGCTTGACCAACCTGTCGGGGGTCATAGATGACCTGTTCCAGGTCAAAAGCCTTCGGAGTAATGACTTTGTAAAAATTCGAGGGGGTTACATCCCCCCTGATTTCACTCAGGGGGGGCAATAGACTGCCAGCCCCCCCCCCTGAAGCCGCCTACGAAATTGTCAAAATAATCATGGCGTTATCTCAAAAAATTAAATATTTATTTTCAGATTTGCAAAATCGTAGAATTGACAAATTTGCTAGAATATTTAACAATATTTGTATTCTTCAGAAAACCTTCTATTTGTGGAATCTGTCTGGAATATGAAAAAAATGGCCGAAAAGGATGTTCCAGAGGAGTGTTTATCTATATGGAACAGGTATATAGTGTTCCAGTGGAGTATTTATCTATATGGAACAGGTATATGGTGTTCCAGAGGAGTGTTTGTCAATATGGAACAGGTATATAGTATTCCAGAGGAGTGTTTATCTATATGGAACAGGTATATAGTGTTTCAGAGGAGTGTTTATCCATATGGAACAGGTATATAGTGTTCCAGAGGAGTGTTTATCCATATGGAACAGGTATATATAGTGTTCCAGAGGAGTTTTTGTCTATATGGAACAGGTATATAGTATTCCAGAGGAGTGTTTATCTATATGGAACAGGTATATAGTACTCCAGAGGAGTGTTTATCTATATGGAACAGGTATATAGTGTTTCAGAGGAATGTTTATCCATGTGGAACAGGTATATAGTATTCCATAGGAGTGTTTCTCTATATGGAACAGGTATAAAGTGTTCTAAAGGAGTGTTTGTCTTTATGGAACAGGTATATAATGTTTCAGAGGAGTGTTTGTCTGTTTGGAACAGGTACATAGTGTTCCAGAGGAGAGTTTGTCTATATGGAACAGATATATAGTGTTCCAAGGGAGTATTTGTCTGTATGGAACAGGTATATAGTGTTCCAGAGGAGTGTTTATCTATATGGAACAGGTATATAGTGTTCCAGAGCAGTAGTTGTCCATACGGAACAGGTTTTTAGTGCTCCAGAGGAGTGTTTTTCTATAAAAAACAGGCTATAGTGTTCCGGAGGAATGTTTGTTTACATGGAACAAGTATATAGTGTTCCATGAGGAGTGTTTATCTATAAGGAACAGGTTTTAAGTGTTGCAGTTGGGTTTTTAGATTTATGGAACAGGTATATGGTGTTCCAGAGGAGTGTTTATCTGTATGGAATATGTTCATAATGTTCCAGAGGAGAGTTTATCTATATGGAACAGGTATATGGTGTTCCAGAGGAGTGTTTATCTGTATGGAATATGTTCATAATGTTCCAGAGGAGAGTTTATCTATATGGAACAGGTATATGGTGTTCCAGAGGAGTGTTTATCCGTATGGAATATGTATATAGTGTTCCAGAGGAGTGTTTATCCGTATGGAATATGTATACAGTGTTCCAGAGGAGAGTTTATCTGTATGGAATGTGTATGTATCTATCTATATATCTATTTAAGGCATGAAACATCATGTATAGTAAGATGTTTTAATTTGAAGCTGATTCTTTTAATATCTATCTATCTATATATCTATCTTATCTAGGTTTATGGGTCAGCAGGCTGAGATCCCGATCAACCTGGATTCTAAATCCTTTAAGATTACTCAGGAGAATATCAAGAACCCTGATAGGTCAGACAATTTATTACAATGTAAACCATTGAACTTTGAAATAATAAGACGACATTTAAACAGTCTAATATATATTTAAAGCAAATAGCTTTACCAGTACCTTAAAATCAACTTATTAAGTGAAATGGGTCTGTGTAGTACTAGTATTGCTGTGTGCCATTTCTTGTTCATTGGACTATTTTTTGAGTCTAACAGTCGTCTTCTCATACCACAGTATTATTGGTCCCACTTCATCTAAAATATTTCTTTGTCATTTTTGTAATCCTTTATCCAAAGAGGATAGAATATATATATATATATTCTATTCTCTTTGCCTTTATCACTTTGATTTTCTAGAAAGTTTAAATTTACAGGGAAATCTCCTTTTCTATTTTTTTCCAAAAGAAATTGAGGGTTTGCCACTCTTTGTCGTAGACGTTGGATATTTCTCTGCTAGTTTGAAATATCAAAGTTTTACACCATTTGGTTACAAAGATAAAGGAATTTAAAAATTTGAGTTTGTGGAAAAGATTCAATTCCTTTGTATTTATCAAAGAATAAAATTGGAAAACGAGATATAAATTCCTGTAAAAATAGTCTTGTTGAATCCAAGTTTTAAAAAAAAGAAAAAAAAGAATTTTTAACCAAAGCAATTTACAGGAACTAAGAAAAAAGTCAGAACTCATTGTTGAAGAAAAAACTTTTTTTCGATCAAAAAGAAACAGCTGAAAATAATGACAAAAATAAATATTAAAAATCTATATTTTTACAGATGGACTTTTGATATTGCTTGTGCCCATCTCTACTACCTTATGACCAGTGATAGCTATTCCAGGTATAAATATTGAAAGGGACTGTTGGACTTAATCTTCAAAAATTGATAATAATAATAAAGTAGAATGAAGTCAGTACTTTTGTGTTGTGAAACTTTGGATCAATCTAATGCAGATCTACGGATTTATCTAATTTCTCTTAGATATCCCGTGTTGGTCATACCCTGCAGGGATAACTTTAATCGAGGAATCAAGTACTAACTCTCCAATTTATAAGTGCCCAAAATAGATTTCGAGATGAAACGTCCAAGATTAACAACACTCCACACAAAAAGTCCGACCTCCTCTGGATAAAAATCAGCCATGTTTAAAACTTAAAGTGAGGGAAAATAATGATTATAATTTCTTGTTTTTCTTTCAGATATGTACGTTCGTCTCACTACAAGGATTTCCTAGAGAATTCTCGTAAGAAGAGCATTAAAGGATTTATTCCAAAACTTTCCAACGCCAAACTTAATATAGTCAATGCCAAAGAACAGTTAAAAGTTGGCCTTTCATCAAATCCATTCCCAATATAGAAACATTCTTGTAAATATCTAGTGAAAAGTGTTGAAGTTGTATCTAATGGAAAGGATACATGAATCTAGTGGAATGGATACATCAATTTAGTGGAAAGGATACATGTTTTTAGTGGAAAGAATACATGAATCTAGTGGAATTGATACATCAATTTAGTGGAAAGGATACATGTTTTTAGTGGAAAGGATACATGAATCTAGTGGAATTGATACATCAATCTAGTGGAAAGGATTCATGTATTTAGTTGAAAGGATACATGAATCTAGTGGAAAGGATACATGTATTTAGAAGAAAGGATACATGTATTTAGTGGAAAGGATACATGAATCTATTGGAAAGGATACATGTATTTAGTGAAAAGGATACATGAATCTAGTAGAAAGGATACATGAATCTAGTGGAAAGGATGAATGCATCTAGTAAGAATACACGAATGAATGAATAGATACATGAATCAAATGAAAAAGGGTGAAATCTAGTGGGAAAGATGCTTAAATCTAGTGATTGAAAGTCTACTTGAAAAAAACGTAAAAATCAGATTTTGATCATACAAAAAGTTAACTCTAAATATGCAAAAATTGCCATTTTTTTATTGCAAAAACCTTTAAGCATTATTTTTTTCTCTAAAGTGTCAAAACTACTGATTAAAACACATCATTGGACATTTTAGTTGATCCGGTTTTAGTTTTAGAGAATTATATTTTAATTTTGTAAACTACTCATGGAACCTCCTTTAACCCAAAAAATATCGACTGATGTGATACACTAATCTTTTTAGTTTTCCCATGCATTTTAAGATTTACAATGTGAAAGATTTTTCACAAATTTGTGAGGAATCAATTTTAAGTATTTTTAATTTTAAGAAACATGTACAAAACGCATTTTTCACTATAATTAAATTTGACCATCGCATCGCATTTTGTGATAAAAAAGTGTTTTCGTTTCTTCTCAAAATATGTCTACATGGGCATAAAAACTTCCGTCTTTCCAAGCTATATCCGAAGGAAAAAAAACCGTTTTACAAAATATTGAAAAATAGCCAAGTTGAAGCTGAAAAACTAAGGAAAACAGCTGATTTTGTAATTTCCCTAATTTTTCCCACTTTCATGCTCCTAGAGCACATGTTTTTGAATATTTTTACTAAACCGTTTGCTGCGTTGAATTATGCTTTGCGGCTCTTTTGATACCCATATCGACATATTTTGCAAAAATTAAAAAATTCACGATTGTCAGTTTTGATGTTATCGAAAAATGCTTTTATTAAATGCTGCTTAAAATTAAAAAACACAGTAGTATTTACTACTTGATTTGTGTTCATGAAAATTCTTCGATCTAAATGCATATATCTATTTTTTGCCATGAAAAGCTAGAATTCATTTATGTAATTTTAGGAGGGACTTCTTAGTTCGAACATTGCCTCTGAAAAAATATAGCCCCCTCCCCCTTTTTAATGAACTTGCCAAATATCTCGGTATTTTTCAAGCGAAAAATACACCAAAGAATGTTTGCATAGAGAAAGGAAACGAAGAGTTAAAAATTATCTCATAATCCCCTCAGAGGTACGCAATTCGGGCCACCTTATAGCCAAGATATACGTTGACACTTTGTATATACAAGTGTACAGTATTTGATACGTTAAGCAAGCATCGTGATGTACACAATCGACCACCCTATTAATTTTGCTACATGGTTGTACGTTATGAGATTTAATTTTAACTCCTCGTTTCCCTTCTTTATGGATGTTTTTATCATACGTTTCAAACTGCGTTAGATAATTGACAAATGCGTAGTTGTACACCTTCACTAATATTTACTATGAATCTCTTTGTACGCTGTACTTCAAGTGTACAGTACAATCCAGATCCACTAAAATGAGACCTCAGAGACACTGTACAGAACTCATACTATCTGTTTCCTCATATTCACGAATCCCTAAACTTAAAACTTGATTCTTTCTTTGCCAAATCATTAAATTAGCCATTAAAAGACTATATATTTGAGAAAGAAGTCTTAATTAATCGTTATTTATTGTGAGTTTTAGGTCGTATTTATAGTCTCATCGTTTGTGGGTAACTCTGTAATTGAATTTGATTGCAAATATCTGTATAACTCAAAGTTAAGTGCCCATATCAAGTTGTATAAAAAGTTATGTACCATGTACAATTGTGAAGAAGAAAAAACAGCTGTAGTGTACAGTGTACACATATGTACACGGCCTAAAGAGAAACAGTCGCAAAATCAAGTGAGCCTCAATGCAATGCCTAATTTACAACGGTACCCTTGAAACCTTGAAACCCTAATCTGATCAAAAATGTGGAAAATAACGTAGTTCTTCTGACTCGAAAATCCACCCATCATTCTTGAATTTAAGAAGTATATAGAGTGAGTAAATAATTGGCGCATCAATATTTTTGCTGGGTTCGTGCTCTTGTTATCCCAAAATTTAACTAAGATATTTGTAGAATCAAATAGAGGATTTGTTAGACTGATATTTCTATGGTTTTATGTATTTAGGGATTTTTATAAGCGGATTTTTAAAAAATGTTAACCAGATTTTTAGATATATCTCATTTAAATATTGAAAGATTTTTGTGAGTAGTTCAGTTGGTTTTTGAAGACATCTTTTTACATATTTGGGGATTTTTATAAGCGGATTTTTCAAAAATGTTAAGCAGGGTTTTAGATATATCTCATTTAGATATTAAAAGATTTTTTTGAGTAATTGGTTTTTGAAGAAACTTTTTATATGTATTGGGATTTTTATAGGCGGATTTTTTTAAAATGTTAAGCAGGTTTTTAGATATATCTCATTTAAATATTAAAAGATTTTTATGAGTAATTGGTTTTTGAAGAAACTTTTTATATGTATACTGCATTGGGATTTTTATAGACGGATTTTTTAAAAAATGTTAAGCAGGTTTTTAGATATATCTCATTTAAATATTGAAAGATGTTTATGAGTAGTTCAGTTGGTTTCTGAAGAAATCTTTACCTAGATATCGATTGACGAGAAATGGGGTTTTCGTTTAATTTTCTAAATGTAAAACAGAAACCTAGCAAAAGTTTTGATATTATTGTGTTAAACATTGCTAACCAAGATTTTTACTCACTCTCTGTTTACACACTTAGCTTATCAGCATGTAGACAAACATGAACTACAAGATAATTTAAACAAAAGTCCCTAGTCCTTCATGTAGATAGTAGTTACTATTCTTTAGGTTTCGGATGCAAATAAAAAAAATTGCTGCAGAAAAAACGTTTTTATACTAATTGAATTAGTTGCTGTGCCCTATTTTTGTGAGCTTTTATATGTGTTAAACTGTACTGAGTATATGGTACATGATATTTGTGCTGTACATGTTATAGGATAATCCCACAGTACAGTTGTAAGTGTGAGTGTACAAAGCCTATAGAAAGTGATGATTAGATTGTACAAGGGATCTCTGTTGAATACATTGAAATCAAATAAAACCGTTTTATCAAGAGAGAGAAAGAGAAAATATCAAAATACAATTGCTAAACCAAAAGTCGTATAAGAATTTTATTTTTCTTATAATTGGACAACAAACGAGTATACAAAATCATTCAAATTTTGCTGGATAAGCTTTGATTTATATCAAACATTTTTTGGAATTTCCAATGTTTGTGTTTCCTTAATGATTAAGAAAAACCTGCAGATACATAGTGAATAAATACTTTGATAAAAAGTTTACTGAGTAAATATCAAGTTCTGTCGCGCAATTGATTACTTTCAAAAGTTTATGAATTGCAAGGATAGAAAGATAAAAAATTAGAGTTTGTGGAGCGAAATCAGTTTCCACCTTTAAACATAATATTTTTATAAAAATTTAATCATTAAGGATAAGATCATTATTAACCGAAACTGATAACACTGTAAACTCCGGTTTATTTCAAGTACCGGTTCGACTTTTCATCAGCTAGCTAGGAAATACAGATACAAATACAAATACAGAATAAATATGGCAAGCCGGGAATGAATGATCTCCTAGTGAAATCTATGTGGATAGACTACTCGTAAAACAGGGAACTTACAACGTGTCGTTTCATTTTATTCTCTTTTTTATTTACAATAATCTGGTTTCTGAGAACAGTTCCTGCCCTGAAGTCCACTGAGAAAGGTTGAAAGAGAACTCCGGAAATCTTGATTTCCACTTCGTCCCAGAGCACTGAGGAAAAAGATATTAAAGTAATTAAGTCTTTTCCACTAACTCTTATTTTCTACTACCCATACCTTTGCAACCCAAGGTAGAAGACCTTACATATTTAAAACTTTGAATTCTGTTAGATAAAAAAATCTAAAAATATGAAAGGTATGCACCATCAGATTGCAAAGATAACGGGATTAGAAAATATAAGTTTTGTGGCAAGGACTCAGTTCCATTACATGATACATTGGGTAGACAATTTACATCTTTTAATCAATCTTGAGGAAAACAAAAAATAGAAAGACTTCGATAACAAACTGGAAGCAGGTTTACTGATATATCGTTTTATTTGTATGCTTGAGCTTTTGCCCACATCCCTTAATCAAAATAAAATATTTTTTTAAGTTAAAGGGACTGTAAAGGAAAAATGAAAGGGGGTATAGGTTGAAAGCTAATCACTTTAGCTCTCGATCGCAACCCATGAAAGTTATATCTGATGTTCCTATCTCGAGAAATTGATTTACAACTTTGTCAAATTTATACGAAAATTAATATATATACAATTTTGTATAAAAGTTGTGGGTTTAAAAAGGTCAAATTCAACAAATATGCAACCAATCTGAAACGATGATATCCCAGAGAAAGCTAGTTGTATCTTACGTTTACTCCAATTCTAATTTTGTATTTGTTATTTCTATTTTTTATTGATTTAATTCATAATATTATTTATACGTCCGTATTGCTTGACCAGAAATTCCACCAATGGCAGTGTAGTAAAGTGGTCTCATGATACAGGCGGAGACACGTGACCAGTATACTGCTCTGCCATTGGTGATAGTTCTGGTCACGTGATTTAAGTTTAAGATTTTCTACATATATGAACTTTCGTATAATTTTAACACAGTTTTCTATCAATTTCTCGAGACAGGAACATCAGATAAAACTTTTATGGTCGCGATCAAGAGCTAAAGTATTAACTTTCAGCCTATACCCCCTTTCATTTTTCCTTTACAGTCCCTTCAAGAAAAGAATATTTTTGTATTTTTTTCTTTTATATTTAAGATATTCTTGCAACCTCTTCTTTTATATTTAAGATATTTGTGTGGCCCATAGCTATCAAAAATAGTTATTCATGCAAATCTATTCATTTAGTAAAAAACCTATATGAAGCATAAAGTCTGACCGCGTCAACCTTGTTGCACCAGCTAGTCCTGTCCATAGAGCTAGGTCCCAGAAAGGTTGACCCGGCTCGGAAATTCAAAAGTACTACGGCTGCCCGTGTATTTATAGTGGAATTTTGTATAAAGAACCACCTGCATTAAGTTTATTTTTTTGTAATTTTGAGACAAATTCCATGATAAATGATGATGTTTGTTCTTGACATTTGATTTTAAACCAGAGATTATGTATTAAGGAATAAGAGTTTGTGGCAAAAACTCAGTTCCTTTACCTTGATAAAAAAAATTAGTCGGATTTACTTGATCTCGTTATGTTTCTTGACATAAATAGATAAATTAAAAAACCCCAATTTTTTTCCGCCTCAATTTTTAAAATATATCTACATAAATAGTCTTATAGATGTCGTTTAAATGGTATCACACCTGTAAACTAAAGGCAGAGCTTCTCCTATCTGAAGATTGTTTTGTCGAACCTTAAATCCTAGTTTACAGAACTCTTCATATTCAACACAACTGATATCATTCTCCGGGTTCTCTCTTCCCCTGGTTCCATCCTTCTTCGGGTTCTCTATTTCCCTGGTTCCATCCTTCTCCGGGTTCTTTCTACCTGTTTCATCCTTCTCAATCTTAGATCTCCTGTTTCTCCTGATCTTAAGCCTTGTTTTATCATACTGCCAGGGGAAGAAATCATTTTCAATTTCTTCCTCATCTTCATAATTGTATTGGAGCAGGGCTTCATCAAGTATCCGTCCCACATCATCTAAACCTGTAAATATGGTATAATTCTAAAGAAGGAGATTCGAAACTAATAATGTTTTGGCGCTAAGGTTATAGGTTAAATCGGTTGTGTTGGTTTAAACCAGTGATTTGGAAAAGATCATAAAATTACACACCTCGTAAAACATGCTAAAAAGTTAGATCACCAAAAATTTGGATTGTTTTCTGTTTTATGTTTACCTCTGAAAGCACTCAAGATTTGATATGAATATGTACATTGTACATAAAGCAGTACATTGTCATCTATAGAGCAGCTAAATTAATAAATATTCTATATCTTGAAAATCTTGTATATAGTCAAATGAATAAAAGTACAAATATATTTTAGACAAGAAAGCGGAGAAGTATGTTCTTAAAATATGAAAATAGATAAGACTCTGTAACTTTGGTCTGAAAGAAATGTACTCTCTAGGAAATGAAATTTTGCCCAGGCCCGTAACCAGGGGGGGGGTGGAAGGGTGCAGGTGCACCCCCCTTTCTTCTGAAAGGGGGGTGCAATGACGAATTTGCCCCCCCCCCCCCCAGTTCCATATATAAAAAAAATTGTTTCTCATAATTTTCTAAAATCTAGTTACCAATAATATAGCTCAAGCAAGAGTTGATTTCCTTCCCAAACCAAATTATAATCTTATTGTGTGTTACTCATTATAATAGCCATTTTTGGGAGTTTCAAAAACATTTTTTTAATTGCCAGGATATTTGTCATTTTAGTCAAAGTAGAAGGTTTTTTTGAGTACTCAAAAATTCACTAAGAATGTCTTAATGTCAATAAATAAACTCTTTTAAACAAAATATTAGAAATTTTTATTTTTTATTCATCTTCATAACATCATGATGAGTCCGAGGGACAAGAAGCATTGATTTTAAATACTGATTTTTTTCCTTAAGCTAAAGTACCATTCATTTATTTTTTATGTGTCCGGGCTGTCCCAATAAACATGGGAATTCAGTGACAAATTCGATATCGTCTTTTCAAATAATTCTTTAGTGATACCTACTGAGAAAGCTGTAATCTGTAAGAGTTTCGTCTGCTATATTCACATTTTGTTTGTTTATGTTTTGACTGAATACGGTTGTACTTAGTAAAACAAGAAAATTACAGTATACAAACAGTGTGAACTTGTCCGTCTTCACTGTTCATCTTGCGGATACATTACTGACAGCCATTTACCGTTTTCATAAATTAAACTCTAGCAGAAATAATAATATTTTGGCTTTTGAAATTAGGTATTACAATGCTAATTCATAACAAAGACGATATCGAATTCGTCACTGAATTCCCATGTTTTTTGTGACACCCTGTATATTGTATATGTAAACTGAAAAGTTTCAGACACTAAAATGTAACCCATAAAGCTTAAATACACTTGTTAAAAAGGTTAGTCTTTATAGCGTACATTGACAATGTAATAAAGAAAACCGTAAACCACCGTAATAACAAACCAAGCATTGCTTTAAAAAAAAAAAAAAAAAAATGTATCATGGTTACGGGCCTGATTTTGCCTAGTTATAAATCTGTCGGTATTTTCTATATTTTTTATTTTTTATTGCACACCAATTATTCGACGGAAAATGTTCGAGCGGCCGGATGATTTTTCACCACTGAGACAAGGGATCAATTTTATTGATGTATAATTGTTATTCAATTATATTAGTGAAAATTTTTTTTAATAATTTAAAAAATTTTTTTTAAAAATTGTTCAGCACCAAAGGGAAAATAAATAATTACATTTATTAAAATCGTGCGTTTATCCTTCTCAATAATTGGCATTTTTATTAAATTATATTTGTAAATAAAATAATTATATAAAATTTATGTAAACCACATGTTTAATAATTCTTTTAAATATGAGTTTTCAACTTAATTATTCGGTACATGAAGTTTCTGAGTTACCCAGGGATTTAGTTAATGCAAACCTCTCATTATGTTATGCAAATCTTGAAATACAAGGAGAAATACAGGAAATATCATTTCAAAACAATGATGCAATAATATTTGAAACAAATATGAAGATATTTCTCCTTATCACTTAAAGAAGTTTAAGTTAACGGATTTTTGAGAATGGTTGCCTTTGATAATGGTCTTGAGGTAATGACCCTTACACTTCACAGTCCAAAAAAACCCCAATTTATTTTGGAAAATGAATTTGCCACAAACCCAAATTTTCCAATCCCTATAGTTTTAAAACCTAATGTTGTAAACCTTTGATATTTCAAACTTAGACTATTTGATCCAACAGAATATATAATATGAAATATCAAAGGTCTACGATATCGGGTTACAAAGATAAAGGGTTGAGAAAAGATAGTGACAAAGACTTAATTCCTGTGTGATTAAGTTGGTAGGAGAAATGTTTAACCAAACGCAGTGCTGCTGCTGTGACCGAGTTTTGTTGATATTTTTCCGGAAAAAGCGGTTTCATGTAAACAATGATATGGGGGTTCGATCCTGGTATATTTCTGCATTTTATCTACGGGACCCTAAACCATGATAAGGCCATTCTAACCATTGTATTATTCTTCTTTTCAATTTTTAGTAAAAAAAGGAACCAAACACTCTTCCCCAATTTAATTTTATAATCCCTATATGTTTGCAACTATTTCATTCTTTGAATTCTGTTGAACTTTCGGAACTTAAAACATCAAAGATCTATCAAATTGCAAAGTTGTAAGGATTAGAAAATTCGAATTTGTGGCAAGATTTCAGTTCCTTTAAATTAACTCGCCTGAATGAAGTAAACTCCGTTTCGTCTTGAAGTTTCTATATTGTTCTCCTGTACTGTAGTAGGCTGCTATAGAGAGAAATGAAGCCATCATAACAATAGCAACTATGATCCCAGTGTAGGTTATCACAAGGCTGGCATTTTGAACCTCGACGAATCTACCGGTAGAGACATCTAGTGGAGAGTTTTGGACTTGAACTTCGTCCTGGTTGACCGGAGTAGCGTGTACTGAAGAGTAAATGCAAACAAACACCATGAGAAGCTTTGAACCCTGCAATATACAATATTTTTTTCTGAATAGATTAAAGTTGTTTAAGTGTTTGCCCTCAGAAAAATTTAAAAATAGTTTTGAATATTAAGATTATGGCCGATCAAAGCTATATACTAATAAATCGGACTTAGCAAGCCAGTTGGATCCTCCCTCTCAGTCGAGAAAAAAATACGAAACTGCCGAAATTCTTTGTCATTTTTTTCTGATCAGTGTTTAAGAATTTAAATAATAATAGGCTAACATACTTTGAACTTTAGATTGTCCACTATTATGTATTATATAGTAGATGTAGTATATGTATTAGATAGTAGATGTATGAAAATATAATTTAAATTACAGATTCCAATTTTAAGGATCCTTATGCATAAATTTCAACTCAATGATGGTTATTTTATCATTAACTCAAATCTGCTGGACCCGCCTTAACTTTCCCTTTAAAATATGTGCTCCATAGATGCACCACACTTTATCTCTCGTCATATTCCACCCCCTGCAAATTATCTAATTGTTCAAAGTTCAATTTAAAATGACCCCCCCTGGGCCCCTTCCCCCATCTACAACCTTAATCATCATCTTAATAATAATTTCTCTCTCCTGTGTTTGTTTTGTGATAATAAACAAAATAAGAAATTAATGAAACTGCCACAACAAACAGTTTAAAATAATAACCCAAAAAAGTTCACGGATTTTTTAAATTTCACAAAAATTAAAAACTCTTGAATAACACTTTTTGTAATTCTAAGCATCCTCAAATCTTCCCTGGGGTCATGCCGTAGCAAATATCGTGTAAGCTTGATATTCTTAAACCTGCAGTACGTGGTACATTATTAACAATTTATACACAATGACATTATTTATCGAAACTTTGTTCCAATGGAATGCGTAGCATTATTAGATTAAATCATGTAATTACTTAAAATTACACTGTAAACATATGTGGAGATAGATTAACTACGTTATATCTATTTTCGCTAATCTTATATGTACATTAATTTTAACTGTGAGGTAAATACGTAACATGATTGTCTTAATCATGTGATACAGACAACGACTTAGGAATTGTAATTACATAAATTCACGTTTACTTGTAACATAAGATATTTATATAAAGTTAGTTTATAGAGTAACTCCGTACTGATTACTGCGAGAGAGTAATCCTGAAACCCGGCCTGTGTTGATATAACCAGGTTGATTCGTCCCCATCATTTGGGATTGATATATATTGTTTGTTGATAGCTACACTTGTTCCCTGTGTGGCATTTAGAGCTTGGATTAATAGCTTACTGGATAGCTACACTTGTATCCCTGTGTGGCATTTAGAGCCTGGATTAATAGCTTATTGGATAGCTATGCTTATGCCCCTGTGTGGCATTTAGAGCCAGATGGGTTGTGTCCTGTTTGATAATAGCTTGTTGGATAGCTACGCTTGTGTCTTTGTGTGGAATTTAGAGCCATGTTGGTTGTGTTTTGGTTGGCTTTGATAGCGCACAGGTTGGACTTGGATAGATACGTTTCGAGAACTTGTTAAGGAGTAGGGCTTTACTACAATGCAAGGTCCCACACAAAATTGGTCTAGCCGTTTGGACGTTTATTGGATACAAACAGACAAGCAAAGTATATAGATAGATAGATTGGATCAAACATTAAGAAATTTTTCCTGAATTCCCAAGTTGTCAGAACCTAACCCAAGATGCATTTCAAAACCAAGAATTCGTTTCATCCTTATTTTTGCATTGTTTGCGTGGGAAAGTAAGAACCGTGGATAATTTAAACCTTGCCAGCGGAGTATATAATTTCAAGGATTGATGCAGAACTAGATTATCCTTGTGCTAATAAATAGACCCGGAGAAGATGGATTTAAAACCACAGGATTTCTCTCACTTGAATACCTAGAACTAAGCCTGGTATCCTGTATACTAGATAAACTAGGAGACTGAACTGTACGCATTACATCAACTTGAAGACAGGAAAATATCAACTTGGGAGAATCTTATAATTAGAAACTTTAAATAAGATAAGTAGAATACGAAGAGAGGAAGATGTGGCTAAACATCAGAAAGAGATTGAAAAAGATTGACAGGATAGAGGTGAAGAAAAAGTGGGCAAAAAACGGATATGGGAATCGGAAAATTGAAAAATAAGACAAAATATTTAGTATGGAAAATAGTTAAGATAATGGAGGACATAATAACAATAAATTAGTTATAAGAAAAAGATTGAGAGAATGGAGACACTAATACGACTGATTTATGGAAGAAAGTATAGGAATAAGATCTAGCGAATGGAGAAATGCGTAAGACTAATTAATTGAAGAAAGTATATGAAAAGGATTCAGAGAATGGAGACAATAATACGACTGATTTATGGAGGAAAGTATAGGAATAAGATCTAGAGAATGGAGAAATTAAGACTAATTAATTGAAGAAAGTATAAGAAAAAGATTCAGAGAATGGAGACAATTATACGACTGATTTATGGAGGAAAGTATAGGAATAAGATCTAGAGAGTGAAGAAATGCGTTAGGACTAATTAATTGAAGAAAGTATAGGAATAAGATTCAGAGAATGAAGAAACGAGTAAGATTAAAGAATTGAGTAAAGTATAAAAATAAGATTCATAAATGGATAAATAAGTAAGACTAATTAATTGAAGAAAGTATAAGAATAAGATTCATAAATGGATAAATAAGTAAGAATAATTAAATGAAGAAAGTATAAAAATAAGATTTAAAGATTGGAGAAACGAATAAGACTAATAAATTAAAGAAAGTATAAGAATAAGATTCAGATAATGGAGACACTAGTACAACTTATTTACTTGAAAAGTATAGGAATAAAATTAAGTGAATGGAGAAAGTTCAGGGAGTGGATTGAAGCATTAGGCTATATAAGATTGAGGGAGTGGAGGGCAGTATAAATCTGAGGGAGTGGAGTTGTGTAAAAGATTAAGGGAGCGGAAGGGGGTATAAACATTAGGGAGTGGAGGGGAGTTTGAGGGAGTAGAGGGAAGTATAAGAACTAGGGAGCGGAGGGGAGTACAAACATGAGGGAGTTGAGGGGAGTATAAGAATTAGGGAGTAGAGGGGAGTACAAACATGAGCGAGCGGAGGGTTAATATAGAGGAAAGAATATATTCAGGAAATGGAGGGGTTGTACAAATTGTGGAAACGTAGGGAAAGATAAGACTGTAAAACCTGGAAAAAACTATAGACACAAGGATTTTTAGGCAGAATATAGCATTGTTGGGAATAGAGAGAAGGAAATCTAGGGCAGGATTAAGAATCATAAGAACTGACGAGACGGATAGATAAGAGACTATAATAAGGAGAAAGGGCAGAATAAGGCATTAAAATAAGTGAAGGAAAGGATAAGACTAAGAAACTGAGGGAGGAATGAGGAAATATATTGGAAAGGGGGGGGGGAAGAATAGAACTGAGGTAACGGGGGCAGGATATGGATTAAAATTGGATAAAGGGAAGGATAAGGCTTGGAAAACTAAGGTTAGGATTAGGAATTATAGAAAATGGATGGAGGAGAAGAAAATTAATTCAAGGAATAAAATAAGGGAATAGAAAATTTTATTAAGCATTTGCATTGTAAAATTATAAATATGAAAATGTTTTTTTTTAGTATGGTTTCGCCTTAAAATTTAACTCGTCTTTTACTTTTAGGTTATCATCAACAAATATTAAAACTTACCATACTGAGGAATATTTCGGGCCTGTTTTAAACTTGAAAATTGGACAGCTTAGCAGAATAATTCCGATAACATCATTTCTTCTTCTTTATCTGTATTATATTGAGAATATATATGTTTCCCGTTGAAAGATTCAGAACCGACTGCTGGTATTCAGATCTCCGCTTTATCAATACTGATAGAGAGAGAAAGTTACCCATATACATACATACTTGTATATATTATACATTAGACTTGAATGAATGATAAATATATACCATAAACACTACAGGCGGACGTAATACAATATACAGGGGTACTCAAAAATTATGAGACTTTATAAACGACTGGTTACATACAACTTGTCATGCCGAATCATGTAAACATTTCACCTATAAAAGAGATTGAGTCTTTGTCAGAATCCCTATATCTTTGCAACCTGATGGTGTACACGTTTGATATTTCAAACCTAGTTTACTTGATCCAACATCATTCATAGTTTGAAATATCTATGGTTAAAGACATTAGTTCGTAAAGATATAGGTATTGTTTGTGGCAAAGACTCAATTCCTTTAACATCGTCAAAATTTCAGAGTTTTAGGTTGTCATTGAGGTCTCATTATTCATGGGTAACACTGCATATAGTATTCGTAAATACTTAAATATTTATTACACTTTTTTACACAAACATACGTACACAAAGTTTGTATTCATTATACTTTTACACATAAACATTAGACATTAGACATGTATATACAGGGTGTCCCACATCAAATTAGACCTCGTAAATGGGTCTAAATTACGATTTGGGGGACAAATCATAAAATATAAGAAGAATGAATCAATTTGAAAAATTTAATAAGGCTAATAGAAATTTTTTTTCAGAAAATGCTAGATTTTTCGAGTATTATGTGTGTATTAAGATTGGAGATAATCTTATATGATATGGGACGCTCTGTACATTGTCAAAACAATAAATGCATATTACATATACAATACATGTGATCATAATAACACATGTATACATCACAAATCCACTAACCGCTGCTGTGTCTTCGGTCAGAGTACTGCAGAACACAACGAAACCTTAGTTGAGTGTGATATAATCACAAATATTCAATAATAACACATGTATACATCACAAATCCACTAAACGTTACGGTCAGAGTACTGCAGAACACACCGAAAGCTAGGTTAAGTGTGATATAATCACAAATATACAATTTATTTATCTAATCTTTAACTTCAGATTAGAAACCTGAACTAGTACTTTTTCAAAAGAGTAATTACGAAAAATCTTACTGCTATTATAGAGAAAAGTATATTCAGAAGAATCTTACAAGAACAAATTATTCACTTCGTGTACTTTCCAGTTTTGCCGGCTATACTCAGGTATACTGCTTGCCATATCTGCTATAATCTGGTATACTGCTTGCCATATCTGCTATACTCTGGTATACTGCTTGCCATATCTGCTATAATCTGGTATACTGCTTGCCATAGCTGCTATAATCTGGTGTACTGCTTGTCATAGCTGCTATAACCTGGTATACTGCTTGCCATAGCTACTATAATCTGGTATACTGCTTGCCATAGCTACTATAATCTGGTATACTGCTAGCCATATCTGCTATAATCTGGTATACTGCTTGCCATAGCTGCTATAATCTGGTATACTGCTTGCCATATCAGCTATAATCTGGTATACTGCTTGCCATATCTGCTATAATCTGGTATTCTGCTTGCCATAGCTGCTATAATCTGGTATACTGCTTGCCATATAGCTGCTATAATCTGGTATACTGCTTCCCATAGTTGCTTTTATTAGGAAAAAATTGGAAAATATCTAGGGAAAGCTGGGTTTCCAAGTTAGTACACATATATATATATTAAATCTGAGGTGGTAATGCATGGCTATTCTGTTGAAAACTGTACTTAAAACATCAGATGGTTTTATGAACGCTTCATTATAGGATAAATATTTGAAAATATTTTCCTCTTTTCAAATTTTGTTTGAAATCTAAAACCAGAGCCAAGTGTATTTGATCGTGGATTCTAGTGCATTAATAATTCATATTTTAATATAGGATATTATATACTTGATAAAACAGGAAACGGAAATATCAAAGAATACAAGAATAAACTGGATTAGACAGAAAAATAATCCAGAATTTATTAAATCCATCCAGGTTGGGGGGTAGTATTTGAACCCTGCTATGTGTTTTTTTATTTTATTTTAATAAGTTGATTTAAATCTGGAAAAAAATTTTATTGAAGCTTCAAAATGGTAGATATTATTATTAGGGAAATCCCAAGATAAAGAATTTTATTGATAATTGTTTTTTTACTCGAATATTGGTAAAATGCCGCAAGACGATATTCAATTTTCATCCCTTAATATCCTTGTTTTTCGGACAATCCTGTAGTTGCTATAGTTCAACTTATTGATACTATTCATTAATTCCGATCTAAGACAGTTTTTAAGTATATTTTGAATGTGTACTTTTTAATGGCAAAACCTCAAAAATATTGGACAAATTGTTTAATTTAATTGATTTATCATCTGAAGAATCCATTCCTGGAAGTTACTTCAGACTACAGGTCGGTATTTATGCAATTTATTTGTTTAAGAACCATTTGTGAATTATGTAAATAATTTTCTGAAAAAAAAAAGTTTTTGGCACTAACTCAAGTTTTCTAATTTGTATATCTTTGCAACCTGATGATGTAAACCATTGATATTTCAAACTGAGAATATTTGATCTAACAGAATTACTAGTTTAAAATATCCTAAGGTTTATAACGACATCGGGTTGCAAAAATAAAGGGGTTAGAAAATCAGAGTTCGTTGCACAAACTCAATTCTTAATTATTTATATAGTTCTCATTTTGATGAATTCAATTTCACTGGTTTCTGATTCCTGTGTTTGGTATTAGAGTAATCTCTTCTATTTTTTTATAAACTATTGAATTGTCTGTTTATCAAAATCAATCAAACTTTTTCTCAACCAATTTATTTGTCGATCAATCAAAACTTAACTGGTAACGCGGGTCCAGACATCCAAGAAGTAAAATGTAAATATATATTTGATATATATCTCATGCAACGCAAGTTGTTTTCACGTGCGTGCAATTGCAATCATTTTCGCGCATTTCCGTGATAATTGTACGGTACGCATTAAATGTGATTAAAAATTTCGCAATTCCGTTAATTTTGCTTAACCGAACCTTTCAATTATAATAATAATAATTAAATTAAGGTAATATCTAATGTAAATAATGTTTTTTAACTATGTGTATATACTTTGCTTGTCTGTATTTGTGTTTTTTGTATCTGATAAACGTAAAAACGGCTAAACCAATCGAAAGCCCAAAATGTTTGACTCCAGGGAAATGATCAGAATTTCAAAAATTTGTCTCCAAAAAATTCAGGTTTTAGTTTTAAAATCCACGAAAAAAAATCCTTGAAATTTTTATTTATCGTTTTTTATTGTACAAAGAGAAATTGTTTACAGTTAGAGACACAACTAAGAGTTAAAGTGAGATATGGACACCAAGCGCCCCCGAAAACCTATTTTATATAATAAAAAAAGACATTCGTATATATTTATGTTGCCTATAGCCGGCCAAACAACTGGACCGAATGGGCTGACATTTTTTTGGACTATCTGGGGTTGCCGGGGAGTGTTATAGGCTAACAAAAATCGAAATTTTTTTAAAAATTTTTTTTCAAGATATTTATTTCAAATTTTTTTTCAACGGGCAACGCCGGGCCCTTCATCTAGTACTCTATAAATCTTAAAAAAGAGCAATAGAAAAGTTAAAAAACAAGAATATTTCCAATTTTGTATAGTCAAAAGTTTGCAGGGTGTGAACAGGGCATGACATTTTGTCAATGGAGAGTAACTACAAAATTAGACAGCCAATCTAATACAATCCACTTTCCGCTCCACGCAACTTCGCTATTCGCAATTATATCGCAATATCCCGCTAGGGCAAGTTAAAGCAATCGGGGGGAGCAATGTCTCGCAATTGCACAATAAGGAATTCCGATTGAAAACCCTCCTTGTAATAAATTGGAACATTTTTTATAAAAATTTATTCACGCAAACAATAAATTATAATTTTCATCTAAAAAAGTTTTCCAGATCTTCAGCTGGCCATCTAAATAATGGAAAAAATTAAGGATTTAAGAATTTCATATTTGACGAATCTAGGTTTGGTTTGGTTAGTCTATTACTGATAATTTCATGTTTTAAATTCGTTTGAAGGGAAGTGTTCACTAACTTAATGTATAGGGATAAACCGTTAACCATAAATATATATTAGGAGTTTTAATATTTTAAGATAATTTATTTTAAAAGTATTTGATAAAAGAAATAATTTTCAGAGATACTTTGTCGTTGATTTATCCCATATTATCTTGAATATATTAAGAATAGTACCAGTTAGATCTCAATTTAACTTACCCGCACTCCAAATTCTTGAACACTCCGTTTTATTTCACTTCGAAAATATTTTATGTCAAAGAAAACAAACAAAGGTCAAATCAATGAATACTGAGAATTATATATTTGAACTAGATATGGTTAGTTAAACTAATTCTCTATAGTGCACTGTTTGCCATTTAATAAAGAAGTAGTTTAAAGATGTCTACCTAGTTTTCCTACTTTTGGTATTCATTAATTCTGACCTACGGTCTGCGGATCAATAAACAAAATCACATTTATTTAAAATTAATCTGTTTAACTAAATATGTTTAGATTAGGTACGAAAATTAAAAGAAAGAAACTGAGTTTTTACAACAAACTCTAATTTTATGATTCCTATATTTTTCAACCTGATGGCGCAAACCTTTGATATTTTAAGCTTAGACTATTTGATCTTACATAATTCAAATCTTGAAACATCAACGGTCTACGACATCGGGTTGCAAAGATAAAAGGCTTATAAAATCAGAGTTCGTGGTAAAAACTCAGTTCCTTTTAAATAATAGCATTGACAAAAAAACACATTAAAAATAGTCTAAGAGGGTTTATTAATTAAAAGGAAACAACTTGAAACTGTGAAAATTAGATTAGGTTAAATTACGAATGTTGTTCTGAGAAAAAAGTTAATTTTCAAATATTCTTTTTTTGAAACTGAAATAATTATCTAGTTTTATATTGTACAGTCCTTATATAAATCGAGAAAGAACTGGCAGGATTAGGGGGAAGGGGATTTTAAAATTTTGCAACGCTATAGTTAATATTTGAATCAATGTATAGTGAGGCAAGAATTTAAAGGAGATTTTTATCATTTTCTGTAAAGTGCTGACTAATCAAGTGGCTCTAGGAACCGAAAAGATATTTCATAAAAAACTTTTTTGTTGGCATTCGTAATTTGTATTTGCAGTGCAAAATGATCCCCACATTATTATTATTAAATTTACATTTCGGAAAAAAAACATTTAACAGCAAAAATACGCAAATATTATATCTTAAAGAAAGAAAAAACAATTTTCCAATTTTTAAGAAAATTCTGAAATCAGAGTTTATTAAACACGAAGGAGAACAGATGATGTAAAGTTGATCTTATTTGAACATGATAACTTTAAAATTTACAGTCTTTACACCGCAAATAAGATATCGTTAAAAGGATTTCAAGCGAACCTCCATTGATAAAGTGGCATGCCCGATTCACAACGGTACCCTAAGAAGCTCCGTCTGATCAAGTATGAATTTAGACTCCATCTTTTTGTTTTTGTAAACTGATTATTTTAATTTGTGGTTTATTTGTAAAAGTGACTCGCGCATTTCTTGCTTCAGAAACTATGAGAAAGTTAACTCAATTAAACAATTTTCAAGCTAGGAAAACGACGTATCTTCCACATTATTGATCAGAATAAGGTTTCAAGGGTACGGTTGTGGATGCTCCTCTTCAACTGAAAGGTTACATAATATATTACAGCCACAGTTACTTTATCTTTGGTTTTCATGTTTTACCACTTCCATGGATCTATCTGAGAAACATATACAATTGTAAAGCTCATGTTTGACTAAAATCTTCCATTCTTCATGAACATGACATCAATGTTCCGGCCGACCCTATCGGTCAGTAACTGTAGATCACAGGAACTAGCCTTCAAGCCAATATCCTTCCCTCCAATCACACCACAGAGGGGGAGGTCAGGCTGAATATGGATGGATTTAAACTCCTTGTCCTAGATAATCATAAGAAAACTTTAAACTGCTGACATGGGTTCTCCAGGGAGATTCTTTCTAGAGAAATTCAATAGTTTTTATAAACTTGACAGAGGTAAAGTTTTCATATAGTTTCTAAATATGGACCTAATCTATAGGACGAAGGATGCTTAAAATTATTTAATTTTCTCTAAAACTAATTGCTTTTATTGATTAAAAACATTTTTTTAAGATAAAACCAATACAATAAAAAATCTATTTATAGACCCTCCCACCTCCTAGCCCTTTCTTCCTACCTGTAATCCTAGCTTGAGGGAGTCCTGGTCTGATATCTCAGCTCTGAACCTGTTATTACAGGTACACGCTAGAACTCCGTTCAAGAACATCTCACAGTCGTTAGTGTGAATCTCATCAAGAACAATCAGATCCAGGTCCACAGAGTCAAAACCATTCCTATTCTCCGCCAGTAATGAGTAGGTCCCTGCATCTGTCATCTGAGTTCTCAGAATCTGAAGTGTTGCTATAGCGCTCTGATCTTCAGGATTATGTGTCACAGTGATGGATAATCCTTCCGCAGGGTTGATCTTCTGACCATCCTTCTTCCAGGAGAACTCTGGGATAGGTTCTCCCTTTACCTTGATCTGGAAACAAGTTAATCGATTGACTTTTACAGTTTTAGATCCTCCAGATCCCTTGTCTATTGCCGGAGACAAGTTTTTATATCTGCAAAGGTGAGGTTTAGTTTCCCTGCTTGGCTCAGAGTCTCCTGCTTTCGTAATGGCGATGACACGGAATGTGTATCGCTTGCCAAGACTTAATCCAGGAATTCTAGCTTCTAGTTCAGCTATAGTAGCAAAGCAACTGTCATTATCAGTTTTAAGAGCATCATACCAACCTCCAAACTCATCTTTCTTTTGAATCACATAGTGTGTAATTGGTCTTCCTCCATCATTGGCAGGTTTTGCCCAACGTAATGTGACAGACTTATCATCAAAATCAACAATTCTGAGGTCCGTAGGTTCTCCAGGAGCCCCATATGGGTTTTCGGCTTTTACAGGATCTTTTGTTCGAGTTGGAGGGGATTCTCCTTCCTTGTTCAGAGCAACAACTTCGAACCTGTAAAGATGACCGGGCTTCAGTCCCTTCACTTCAACGGATGTGGAACTAGTTTCAGCACAGGTCATCCATTCATTTCCTTGGAGATCCATAATTTGAATGGTGTAACCTGTAATAGGAGTTCCACCATCATCCTCAGGAGGTTCCCAGGATAACTTGCAGTGCTCAGCTCGAACCTTCATTTAGAAATATGTTAGTAAATTGCAAATAATATAATGTAAACTTTCTAGAAATATTGCAATTATGTTTTAAAATTGTCCCTCATTACCTCATCAGGTTGAAAACATCTAGGTTTGGTTGGAACATCAAGAACATTGACATATCCTGTTGCTTCAAAATTTCCTCCTCCACAGCTCAGTCTGATCTTATAGACACCAGTGTCCTCTTTTCTCTTAGCCTTGGTCACTGTTAGTACACTGTTCTTCTCCACATAAACTCCTTTCTTTGTAAATATTTCAATGCTCGTTCTCTCATCTGAACTTAATATACATCCTTCCCTTTCCCAGGTTACATCAGGATCAGGTTCCCCACTGAACCAGATATCATAACGGAAGGTCTTGCCAGCCTTTATTTCAATATTATGCATACCTGGTTCCTTAATCTTAGCTTTCATATATCTTGTTTTAGCTGTCATTGTCACAGAAGGATCAGACGGAATAGAATAATTCCAGAGTCCAGTAGAACCAAGGTTTACAGCCTTGATCCGGAACTGGTATTGATAACCTTCTATTAAACCATCGCAAGTTCCAAAGATTAAACCACCTTTCTCTCTTACCTCATGGATGGTTAATATTTTTCCAACAACATAATCCTTCATGTTGTTCTCCTTCTTTTCAATTACATAGTGAGTAATTTTTGCACCCCCATCAGTGTCTGGGGGTGCCCATGATAGATCACCATGATCTGGGCCCCAGTCAAGTATATTAGGTTTTCCAGGTTGACCAGGGGCATTCCAAGGATCCTTGACTACAATGTCCCCACCAGACATTTCACAGGGTGCAGACTGTCCAAGTTTGTTAACTGCTTTAACCCTAAATCTATACTTATTCCCATTTGTTAAACCTTCTATCTTTGCTTTCTTGTCATTGGCTCCGACTTCAGCAACTTGAGACCAGCCTCCACCTCCAGTTACATCAAGCTCCTCAACAACGTACTTAATGATCTCAGAACCACCATCATCTGATGGCTCCTTCCAGTTCACCACACAACTGTCATGGAAGACCTGATTTACAGTACAAGAGCTGGGCTCTCCAGGTTTGTCCATAATATTTATATTCAAATCCTGTTCACAGGATCCCTGAGCATTGCTCATTACAACCTTATAGTTTCCAGACTTTTCATGCTTGGGGTTCAAAATTTGAACACTCATCTTACCATCTTGCATTGTTATGTTTACATCTTGTCCATTTTTCAATTCTTTCCCATCAACCATGATCTTAAAATCCAACTCAGACTGCTTCTTGCCTTCCACCTTAAAATTAACGTCAAACCTAACATCTTTTCCAGACACTCCTTCAACTTTGTTGTTTCCATTGTTCCCGATCTTGTTCATTTCAGGTTTTCTTTCTCCCATCATTACATCTAGTGTAGTACATGTACTAAGCATAGTATCTCCCTTGTTCAGCGGAGTTTTAGCCTCAGCTATTCCTGCATCTGACATTTCTAGCCTTTTTATTACAAGCTGATGTTTTCCAGGGCCAGTGGAACTTTGTTCAAATCTTGAGTCATTTTTGTCAATCTCTTCTCCATTGATATAAAAAGATACCGCTGCCTTTGGATCCTTAACTTCAACATATAGGATTACGTCTTCTCTTTCCACAGCAAATACCATTCCAGATATAGAACGATAGGAATCAGATGTTATTTCCTTGGTGATTTCATTCAAAATTCCGACATGAAGAGGAGCTGAAGATTTGTCCTTGTTTGTCTTGCAGCTTATTTCTGCTTCATCCTTGAGCTGGCAGTCATTTATTATTAACTTTCTGGTTTTACCTTCGGTCACTGCAATAACTCTAGTTCCATCTGGAACAATCTTCTTGTTACCAGAGTACCAGGTAACCTCAGCATCATCAGCCTCGGTGGATATGCTAAACTCGACAGAGTCATGTTCAACAACATTTTTGCCTTTTAGCTTGGATGTAAAAGTATGAGGATACTCTTCTACTTCAAACCAGCAGTTGGTTTGATCTTGTTCTCCATTCTTCACAAACTCCATTATCTGAGCACTGTAGTAGCTTGAATCATCCATCACAACATTAGGAAAGTAGATGCAGCTCATACAGCCCTCATCCACCTTTTGGCATGAACTTTGACTCCATTCTATAGGAGCTCCATTCTTTAACCACTTGAGTTTAACCCCTGGTTCACTGATCTCAACTGACATGGAGTAAGGTCTTGTAGCATATGCAGTTTCTTTCTCTTTCAGAGGACGAACAAACCAATACTCAGGGTCTCTTTTTCGAACAGTAAGATATCCACTTGTCTTTGCTTCAACCTCCTTTACAAGCAGGATATAGGTTCCATCATCCTCAAGCTTAGGATTGTTTATAATCAATGTGTAGACATCTTCCTCCTGCTTCCAGTCATATTTGTCTCCTTTCTGCAACTCTCTGCCATTTTCTCCTGCTTTGATATCAGACATGATCAGTTCATTCCTCTGATACCACTTTCCTTTCATGCCCTTCACTGACAACTTTGCAGTCATAATGATCTGAGTGTCTTTATTTTCCTGGGCTTCTATATCAAACAGTGGTTCAATCCATTCAATCTTCTGAACTATTATCTTCTTCTGTTTCACCTTCTTCTTCATCAACATAGCTCTGAAGTCCATTCCTCCCTCTACTGTGACAAAGAGTTTAAAATCCATCTCTGCCTTGCCTTTACTGTTGGTTAGAACACAGGTGAAGTCTCCTTCGTCCTCTGCCTTGCAGTTTCTTAGTCCCATTGTTACCGTGCAGGTGTTTCCATCAGTCATAAGCTTTGCTCTAGAATACAGTTTTGCGCAGGGTTATTCACATAGGATAAGACTTTAAAGAGACTGTTGTTGATCTGTTGTAGTAAGCTTTAATTTAAAAAAGGTATGCCTGATCCATAATGCTTATCAAATATGTGGAAGATATTGTCATTTTTATCTGGATAAGTCTAAATTCTGACAAGATCATCCATTGTTTCTGTAGCAGAAAATTTTAAAAGTCACTTTTATAAAGCACCATTGTGAATTGGACATTCAACTTTTTTACATGGAGAGTCATTAAAGTTACCTATATAGTCCCTGTAAGGACGCCTTTAAACTCTTAAAGTATGGCGATCTGAAGGTTAACTTTGGAATTCTGTATTGGGAAAGGAAACATGCATACAGCTGTGTAGATTCCGAAGAATTAAGACTTCTTAAATTTTTGAACAGTTGTCTCTAAAGTCTCATTTTCTTAGAATAACCCTGTATCTAATCTTATAAAGTCAGCTAACAAGATATGAAATGGTAAAGAAACTAAATCTATCATTAATTTCCATCAATCTGAAAACTTCCCTATGTCAGCATTAGATATCCTAGAAATATATTGGGACAGAAACTGATATCCAGACTTAAAAACAAACTGGGAAATTGAAAAGTGTTTTGATATATTTGATAGCATGTTCACACTTTAAGGTTCGTCTTGCTAGATTTTCATATATGTTGAAATATTCGCTCATTCAGCTGTGAGTTTGCATACTTGCACAGTTTTTTTTTCAAGATCAAAGCATGAAATCATTTTCTAAAAATAAATTTGTTAAAGTGCATTCCATGATCAAAATTAAATAGATTATTTTTCTTCATCTTAATAAGTTAGACCCCACAGCTATTCTAATTTTTCTTTGGTTTGCCAGATTTTTCGGAAAAATCGTATATTTCACTTAATACTTTTTTAAACAATAAGTTTTGTTGATAATGAAGGATCAAACTTAGTCAGAAAGAACCCTTAGGTAACAAAAAGAATAAAGGAAAAGGGAAAGCTGGGACGCTAATCTTGGGTTTAAGATCATATACATCTCCAGAACCTTGAACCCCTCTACTTGGGGGACCGGGTCCCCCTCAACACTAACCTGGGGTTTCAGCTCACATCCTTCTCAGGGACCTTGAACCACTCGACCTAAGGGACTGTGGTCCCTCTCAACACTAACCTGGAGTTGAAGCTCATTTCCTTCTCCGGGACCTTGAACCACTAGACCTGAGGGACCGGTTCCCCTTCAACACTAACCTGGGATTGCAGCTCATATCCTTCTCGGGGACCTTGAACCACTCGACTTGCGGGACCGGGTCTCCTTCAACACGAAAGGTGACAAATGCTGTCTCCCCCTCGTTGACATTATGTTTATCAACTGGGTCCAGGAATCTTGGTTTTCCTGCAGTTTAGGAGAATATTATTTAAACATTTTGGATTTTGCTCTTTTTTTATAAAAATATAATGTGTAGACTTATTATTTTTAAAACTTGTGATTAAAATTGAATTTTTATTATTGTTGGTTTTAAAAACTTGTTTTCGCCGTTTCCTGAGCTCCATTAAAACTATTTTCAAAAAGAGTTGACTCTTAGTTAGATTATAATTGGAGTGTGCAGAAATTTTTTAGAAAAAAATACGCCATAAAAGTATATTTTAATTCGTTTCCGTCAAATATTAATGTGTTTCTTTATGGATATTTAAATAAGAGTTTTTTTGCCCCGACAAAAAGCTTATAGCTTTACCTACAAGTTTTATCAGATTAGTTTTTGTTAGACTATAAGGGAGAAGCTGCTGAATTTCTAAATGGCTGAAAATGTAAAAGCTTAAAAGTCTTGCAACGCTTTTTAACAATTTGTTGTTTTCCAAGTTTAAAGAAATCTTTAAGTCAACTCTCAATTATAATTTTTACTGCCATTAATGGAATCCTACACTCTACTAGACAGAAAGGTGGAGAAGTTAAAACATTATGCAACAATTGCTGGTATGAAGCTCTTCTAGTTTTTAAGCAGAAGTATGAAGAAAACTTTTTAATTTTTTTGCATACCAGAAATTTAAAAAAGTTATTAATTGTTAATATGACAAACTGTGCAATGACATATTGTAATGTAATCTTTTATGTAAATATAGAATATTCTCCTCCGGTTGGAAGAAGCGGGACGGATTCTTTATCCCAATCCACCTCCGGGAGCTCCTTCTCCTGGCTCCCTCCCCGGGCATCCAACTTCTTTCTCCGTCCTGGTTTATCAACATCAGGATTCAAATCCTCCTCTATCACAATATCCTTGACCATCCTGAAGCTGGATGGATACTGAAGGTTGAGCTGAGGGTCGGACTCCTGGGATGAGTCGACTCAGCAGAATCTAGAGTTTTTCAGCTGAACAGGAGCTGCACTACGCCGGGGTGAGAGATCTTTCTAGATTCATATTTCTCAAGAATAATATTATCAAATTGGAAAAAGTTTATATTTCTAAAAATCAGCAATAAAAGTTGATGTAACCATACATTCTCTTGGTATCACTTAGTTCATTAGTTCATCTTTAAAACCCTTTAAATACACTATATTGTAGAGTACGTGCATCAAAGATTTGAGAAAGTGTGAGACGGTAAATTGATCAAAATTATGCTGATAAAAAATATCGAATATAGGACAATTAGGGTGTAAATGATATTTTGATATAATGTTTTTTGTTTTTGTGCAAAAATGTTGACATTTTATATTGTATCTTATACTTCAAGTTTGAAGTGCACATGAAATCATAGATTTATAGCTGTACACAGAAAAGGTCTGTTTTTTTGGAAAAGTGTATATTTCTAACATTTTCCTCCATTTTTTACTGTTGCATTACATGAACAAGTCACTTCTATGTATAGACAAGCCACAATTGAAAAGAATCAATATTGATAAAAACATGAATATCTCATTCATTCTTATAATCAGAGAAGATTTTAAAGATACCGCTGTGAATTCGACATACCACTCTACAAATCCAGGCTCGCCTCTTCTCCTGCATACACTGTCCATTATATGCTTGTATAGTACACGAGACAAATTTTGTTGGTCTGCTTTAAATTATTTTAGAATTTATAATACAAGGCATTAATTACAAAGAAAATATAAATACAAGAAAAGAACAACCATTTCTTTTCTTTACTACAGATTTTGTGGATATCCGACTTTTAAGTTGGTGGGGTTTCTTCTTATTACATTAATTGAACTTGAGTTTTAATGATTTCCCTAGATTCCTGTCGGGGATATTTTCCTATAAGAGAGAACAGACCTTGAAAAAAATATTCATTAGTAAATATTATCCTTAACTTACTCCCCTTAACTCAACCTTACTCATCTACTTTCTCGTCACATGTCATATCCTTTTAAGTATCAGTGTATCCCTTGGGCTGTATCACTAGACACCTCAAACATTTTTATCTTAATATCTATATATATATATATATATATATATATACTTTTTGTTTGTTTACTTAGACCCAAATTTTGTGTGGGACCTCACCCCAGGGAAGGTTCATGGATGATCAGAATTTCAAAAAGCTGTCTTCAAAAATTTAGATTTTTGTAAAATTTTAAAAATCCATAAAAAATATTATTAAGTCTGCAAAGCTTTTTTGTTTTTTGTTTTATATTGTACAAAGAGAAGAGCCACAATTAAACGTTGAAATAGAAGATGGGAGCCCTAAGCCTAGTATCATAATTGAACAGAGGAATTAAGTCTTTGCCCCAAATCCCAATTTTCTAATACCTTATCTCTAAAACCAGATGGCGTAAACCTTTGATATTTCAAAGTTTGATTATTTGATGCATCAGAATTCATAGTTTGAAATATCTAGGGTCTACAACATTGGGTTGTAGAGATAGAGGAATTACAAAATCTGAGTTTGTGGCAATGACTCAATTCCTTTCCAGAATCTAGTAAACCGAATGAGTTAAACTACATTCTCATTGCCCCTCCGCCTGGAGCATTGAACTACATACCGGTTCTTTAAACCGTTCATCATTGGACATTGGCCAACGTTCGGAGATTTGGTCAATTAGATTTAGTAATCTGTAATTAACTTTAATTCACTTTAACATTTTATAGCTTGAACACTTTATTTTCTGTTCAAAAATTGCTGCGTTGGTTTACAAAAACATAACATGGATAAAAATAGACGGAAACGTAGCATAGAAAAAAATAGTACCAATCGATCTATATGTTTCAACGAGTTTCTTTCCTATCCCCCCGTATTATATTTTGCGATCACCCTCTTTAAATTAGTCCTTTGTAATTAAATGAAATATTTTAATACTTTATTCAGACTTTTTATAAATTGCATGATTGACTTTGAGCTAACACCTCATAATCATTCTTTTAACCCTCCCATTTCTTTCAATCAGTAACAACCCACTGCAGTTTGACTATATTAACTAAAATTAAGTTTAAACGGAAATCGAATAAAATCTTTGAAAATGAATATTACAGAAACCCCAGACACACACGTCAAATTTTACTAAATTGCATATATATCTCTTGTCTTTTTCAATTTGTTTTTTCCAAACGTCAAATGGCTGAAAGGATCGGTCCCTTGATTTGAACCTAACATGATCCCAGAAAACTTTTATGGATGTTCAGAGTTTAAAACATTATCTTAAAATATTTCGATTTTTCAAAATCCAAGAAAAGTAATCGATAAATCCGCGACATTTTTTATAGTTTGACAATTTAAGAAGAGAAAATTCTGCGGATAGAGCTACAATTAAATGCTAAAATCAAAAATGGCCCAGTTTTATATATATATATATATATATATACTAGCTGAACTGCCCGGCGTTGCCCTTGATATTTAAAAAATAGAATTTGAAAAAATTAAATTTTTTGTCTATGTTGCACTCAAGGAACTCATAGGTTTCCTCAAAAAATGTTAGCCAATTCGGCCCAGCCGTTCGGCCAGCTATTTCTAACATACATATATATACATACATACATACAAATATATATATATGAGCGAAGAGCTTTATTCTAATAGATGTAAATATGCAATAGATATATAATAGTATAATAAAGATTCATAATAAATATATAAATATATGTATGTGTAGATATAATAGTATGTATGTTTATGATTTGAGGATGTGAGCTCCAGCTTCAACCCGGTTTCTAGCTTACAGGTCAACTTATATTTAAGATATTAGATATGACAGATAATATTTGTATATGCGGATAGACACGTAAATAGATAGCTAGAACAATTTATTGAGAGATGCTAAAAATTTTAAATGGATAGATAGAAAGGTAAAACAGAAATATAGATTAAGATCATATGGTATGAAATGTTGCATCAGTTTTCAAGACTTCGAGTCGACTTTGAAGTGTCGTATCGACTTGGCATTTGATTTTTACTCAATGTGGCGGAAGATGATCCCTAGGATTTCTACAGTACACGACGCGGCGGAGAGATTTAGCCAATCTATGTATTATCAATTTGGACAAATAAAATGCTTTGAATTGTAAATTTGGATGCTTTGCGTAACCTAGCATATAACCCAATCCTTGGAAATCTCATAAATACATTTCAACTGTTGGCAAGCATCAAAAATGTTCCTTTTTGAAAATATTAAAGCATCAAAACTGTCACTGAAACAATATATGTTAAATTCTCGCTTTCCCGGATAAACTGATTCTTTTATTTTGGAATATAAAAACTCTTTGGAATATCTTTCAACACAATAGGGTGGAATTATCGTTGGGGAGGTTACTTGATGACCACATATTCTAAGTCACAACTATACATCAACCTCATACTTTTGAGACCAAATCGACGGCTATCTGAGTCACAATTCTAAGTCACAATGTTGTCTAAGACTCATTCTAAGTCACAATTCCAAGAAAAATACTTAATTTGGAGAAATACTTTTGTCTAGGACTCATTCTAAGTCACAACTTAGACAAAACCATACTTTTGAGACCAAATTATGTCTGAGACTCTTTCTAATACTTATTCCAATGCACACCTGTGACTAAGACTCAATCTAAGTTTTATTTGATATCCTTTAGTATTGCACTGTTAGAAGAAACTTTAACATCTGCTCGTCATACCGTCATATCGAAATTACTGAAAGTATTTCGAAATAATGAAAATTTTGCTCGAAATTACGAACAGAAAGTCAGGGATCTAATAGCTAACATTCTGTTAATATAGTTGAAATGCTCTTAGAAGTTTGATACTGCGCACGCACGTCAAAAAAATAACTTTTACATTACTATCACAAGTTTTTGATATTTACATATCTGTCAATATTTTACTTCTTAATAGTGCAACCATATTTTATAAGTAACATGCAAACATTAAAATGCACTTTATACGGTTCCGCTTCAAAGTAAATTGTGCAGTACACAATTAAGTTACACAGTTCAATGTACACCATGATGATGAACTGTACACAAGCTGTACAGTGCTGTAAATTAACTTCACTTTCACACAGTAAACTATAAACTGTAAAGTTTTACTACTTGTACATTGTACATGTTACAATACACATAGAACAACATTGTACAGTGTACACTCCGGATATATATGATAATGTTACACTACTCAGTAGAGTACTGTAAACCCACCCAGATAGTTCATTCAACCCAAGCTAAATTGTATCATGAGTTGAGTAACTGGACAAACAAATAGTATTGATTGTATTTAACCCGTTACTACTGGAGCTGGTATCAACGGCCAGAGGAAATTTCCAGGGTAGCAAGGTTCAAATCCTGGGAATCCTTATCAGGGGAACACGGATAACGGTGCTTTCGTCGGAAGAGAAAGCAATCTGAACGTCCATTTTGTCCCCGAGAAAAGGGTTAGTCTTGATGAAGGAGGAGAAGAGAGCGGTCGATCACATCTCCGAGAGGAGAATTAGCTCCATCTATGATTCCAGGATTGACTTCGGTTGATCCTCAGTTTGTATTTTAATAATAATGTAAAATAAATTTCTGTTCAAAGTTAGTGCTTTAATCGATTCCATCTGGCTTGTTATATTGAGTTTCTCTTTGTAAAGTTGCCTTTATT